TATTGCATAAGGTGGGGGAAGTCTGCTTTCTGTGGACTGCACGCTAATACCAACTGGGTGCACAACACCGACCTTGATACCAAAGGAAGGAAGCACATTGGCGAAAACACAGTGTGTAGCGTACTAGAAATGCGCATCATGGCAAATGCCAGCATCCAGAGAAAGAGTAGTACAGATAATGGTATGCGCAAGAGTCTCATTGCACGAATGATGACATCAAAAAAATAGAAGCTCGAAGCTGACAGCGCTTCCTTCACCTGATGCTGGTCTACATTCTTCTGTCCCTTGGGACGTAGGGGTACAGCATTGCGACTACGGCAAGAAGGTGTTCGAAGAGAAGGTTGTGAGGCATTTATAAAGACGGTAGTAGATGAGGGTTTCTGCCATTTCATCTACACGATATCAATGCTCGAGGGTGTGAGTACTCACCTCAGCATTTCCTTCACCATCAAACTCTATCATCATAGCTAGTGTTACTAGCGCATTGTTGGCAGGGAATGTGATTGCTGACAATAATAATGTGGGTCAGTCGGACTCAGTCCGGTTAAATACCAAATTGTTGCCTTGAATTTCCTTTGTCTTTTTCTGATTTTAAGCAAACAAAGACATAGCTGGAGCCAGACCAAAAGCTCTAAGGAAGCGTTGTGACCAATTGTGGAGTAAGGAGTGGGAGAGGAGATGATAACGACAATTATTTTTTGCTTTGTATCTGCCGTTGCATTGTGCCGCACCAGCGTTGATGTAATGGCTAGTCCATTAAACTTTTCCACGCCGCATACATTTCAAATCCGAAACTTCAAAGTCACTTGTTTCATCATCCTACCCAATACTCAGAAACCTTGGGCCTTGGCGTGATGCTCTGCTTGTGATCTTTGGAGTACGCTCTTTTCAGCGGGCGTTTAAGAACAGTGGTCGCAGCAGACATAAGCTGCCCTTTGGTTTCTAAGTGCTGAGATCTCTAATTACCATTCAATAGGTGCTAGTGCGCTTACAAAAGCCCAACGACTACCAGGCAGAAAAGTTACTACAAGTTTCTCGGCATCTCTAGGGACGCAGATTTGCCTTGTAAGACTTGCGTTCTCTTATTTTTCTTGCCGATGACTTTCGCAGCCACAGAGCAACCATGACAGTGCATCATGATAAGGGAGGGCAAGAAACGAGAATGGCAAAACTCCCGAATAATCCAAGCAAGAGCATATATAATCAGCATATTTGCGCACGTTGCTCATCTCCTCGTAAGAACTATGCAACACTTCGACAATGGGCCGCCCTCAGCAGCTCCTGCGTCCAGTATTTAGTGTACACACACAAAAACTCAGTGGGTTGAATAGATTGACCGAGTGCACCAGACAAAACTCGAGAGAAAGTCGTCCCCTGCGGAGCAGTACCGTCCCTTCATCTCGCCATATCGTCGAAGGTGAGCTGTGGGTGTGAATGCCATAGAAAGTGTGGGATGTTATGACGGACAAGTGGCACAGATCGCTGTATCCAAATCAATGGGACATGGCGGAGAGAGGGGGTTTTCCATTCAACACCAGCTTCGACGGCGCCCATTGATATTCCAGTTCCTGCAGCTAAGCTTCTTCTCCCTCTACTCCCACATTCATCGCCCCTCCTCGTGAATTCTCACATTTTCATTCTCACTTGCAGTTCTCTCGTCTCCTTGGCCACTCGCACCTCTTGAAAATTTGCTCCCATTCCTGCAACTCAGAGACCATCACCTTAAGCTTATGTCAATTTAGTCTCACTTTTGACATTGGAATAAATGATACGTACTGTCCGAGTGGACTTTCAGCGAGCGGGTTCGATAGGCTGTCTTAATCTCGGCTCTGCCGCAGCTGCGTAATGTACCTTCTTGACAGATTAGTCTGAATATCGAAGTCGACCAGCCTTTTGATCGGAACAATGATGGTGTTTTTTTGGCAAGTGCTTCGGTCGAAGTTCAAGGGCTCGACAGTCTCCCACCTTTGAACCCACAACTGCAAGTTCCAGCGCATGGGATCTCCTACACCCTCCAACAAGTCAGGTATGGATAATTTCTGGGATGTTCCATATGTGATCTAACCAGTAACGGCCACAGGATCTTCCACCACTCACCGTTATCACTCTCGCACCAAATCTTGGCAGTACATTTTGGAAGGGAAGACACAAGGGCTTCTTCCACTTGCTCCTTGGACCGGTGGGCAAGATTCCCCATGACTGTCATATGGATCTTGCAAACCATTTTGGGGGGAATCTCACCTGAAACTGTTGAATCGACCCCGTGAGTTTGGGCCACACATGAAGGTGCTTGCCTGATTGAACCAGAGGAATCAAAGCCACTGCCTTCATGCTATGGAGCCTGGCAGGGTTGGGTATCCTGGGCCGCAATTGTCTGTCCAGGCATTCTTCTTTGGAAGGAGGCCAAACGTGCAGATGGTAAATGCCAGGGACTGTCAAACCATTTGGAAGTCTACATGGCGATCAGGAGCCAGTGCAATGGTGCATGACTTTGAGGCAAGCCTTGTGGCTTGAAGAATGAATATATATCAGGTGAACAATGTGATGGAGAATATCTACCTCTATTTATTGGACTACATATGTGTGATTCTGCCTTTGAGCCAAATATAGACTGCTGTCACACGTCATATAATAATTACGATTTGGGTCAATACGTGGTCCCGAAGACATACACCAGTCAGCATGGCTAACGTCGCATCTTGTTTGTATCTATTCCTTTGGCACTACTATACATTATACTCATGCCCAACAGCAACAGCATCCCCTAGCAGCTTCATGTTTAGCATACCCCACTCCGAGTCCACGGGCCACAGTATCTCCCTCAGCGAGTTTCATACTCTAATCGCAATAGATGCAAGTATGTGTTGCAATGTTGAATTTAATCAATGATGTTGACACTGTTACGCTGACTGTCGGTTGGCATGTGCGAACTTGGATAGGTCTTCTCAGTGTCGGCTCGAGTGAGCCCACCAACATTGAGGGTGTTCGGTGACTTGACAGAACGTCAAGGGTTCCTCCGGTTACCTCGGTAAGACGGCGCTCGTCAAGATACAGGGCTAGCGGATACGGCTAAGGCACGGGGAGCGACTTAGAAGTGCAGGGTTTCAGGGAAAACCAAGTGGATTAGACAAGGCTAACTCTAGGGATGACCAAGTAGATTAAAGTAAAGATCTCAGTACAATAATCTGTCTACTTATATGTGCTATATGTAAGTGTTCAAGCTCAGTCTGTATCTATAGTATATCTGTGGATCTATGATAAGAGACCATGAGGACAGATAAGATACATGAGGTTTAACCTCTGATCAAGCATGCAGTGCCAAGTGCGACTGCGCATAAGTACATGAGGCGCCAAGAGCGCTCCGGATCTTCATGAAGCGGCATGAGGTATACATGCACTGATCTAGGGTGACCATGAGGCGTACAGCCTCCATGGATCAGGTACAAGGCCGTCTAGGCCAGGGGCGGTGTCACAGCGGTCCAGACCACTGTCTTTCTAAGTGCCGGCGGTGTGCCGCCACGTTGGGAGTCTAGCAGAGCAGGGGCTGGTGTAGGCGTTACAGATGCCTGTAACAGACACTGCAAAGGTATCTACCGGGATCACAAGGAGACTGTCAGGCGCACCGAGGCCATAGTTGGAGCCTTGGCATCGGATGTCTCCGACATTACAGAAAAAGTGTTAGCACATGGTGCCACATTAGATGCCACCTACCAGTTGGCCCAGGACAGCATGACGAGTAGCGAACATATTCATACTATCGTGTACGATACTCGTACTCTCATACATGACATGAGTGGTGCGGTGAATCGCATTGATGGGGATGTTTCCCTCATGAAGCTAGAATTTGAGGAAATGAAGATCACGTTGAAGGAAATTCGAGATGCTATGACCATAGTACTAGCTAAACTACACTGAATCTCATTGTTGTCCATGTATCGTGTACTTACCAATTGCTACATTATCAATACCCAAGTAGGGTCACAAACTACTCGAGGTGCAGGAAAATGCTCATCATTGCCTGAATGAGGTGGTGGATGTAGACATCGAGGCATGAATGCACAAGAAACCCTTGCTGAAGGGCGGACTATTCATGCCACAGACAGTCGAAAATCTTATATCCTCACACAAATGCTTGAGCGTGACACTCAGAGAGTAATGATGCAGCCACTGATCATGCACATGCTCCAGAAAGTGGAACAATGTTTATCACAAAATGAGATCCTTCGACAAATCATCAACTTCCTACATGGATGTCCGTGACGAACATAGAATATCAAGTCATATATCAGTATATGCGTAGAGTACAAGCTGTGTAGCCCGCTATATATATGCAGTCGTCATTGGAGACACAAAAATCATTTCAAGTGTGCCATTTGTTGGACCCAAACCAAATTTTGGCAACAACTTTCTTTCGTAGGTGCCTGAAGAGCCAAATCGATGAGTGGTGATTGCCCAAGGAAGGACCGGTGTGTGGATCAACTCGGGAGAAAGCTGTGGTAGGTTGGGTGTTCTATGAGGCGAATCTCCGGTGGATTTAGGCTTGATTTTGAACTATGTGCGTCCTTGATCAAAAATGCACACAAACAATGACCATAAGCAACCAAGTCTCCAAACCGCAAGATAGGACAGACCTGCAGTAGACAAAGTCATCGTACCAGATGGGAACCTTTTAACTTGCTCGGCTGTTACTGCATTCAAAGTATCCCCGCCCATTACCATCTCGCAGTGGTGTCAGATAATATCTTGGTCACGTCATAAGAACCAGTGATGATGAGGACCTAGGTGCAGATTTGAAGTCACTACTAGAATGTCTGAATCGGACTCATCAAACGCTGAAGGCGGATTAGGTTAGCAAGCCTATCCGTGGGAATCTGCAGTTGGGGACTTGATGCGCCTGCCCACTATACTGATAATGCATCCGAGATTCTACTGACTCGGTATACAAAGAAACAGATTGAGTGTCCCATCATTCTTTCAAGTCGCCCACAACATTACTAACTATGCCTATGCAGAATATAATTCTTGCAGAATTTTGCTCTGAAATTCCCATTGCGAATGGACAAACAACGGTGTTGCAATTGATGGATGTTTCATCTGGGCCACATTCCATCTTCGAGACAACTTTCCGACAGCAGTTTTCACTTCCAATAGACACTACCTGTGACCAGTATGTACCATATTTCCTCACGATCTCATAGTACAGCATTCCTTATGGGGACTGCAGCATTCATACTCATAATAGCGGTGAAGTCACCCCAAGCATTGCCAGTGATGCGGTTCTAACCCCCAAAGTCCATCAATGTACCCCACCCACTACAAAAAGCAGTACTGTAATGACTCCTAGTGATGATTTGTCTCATGGCGAGGATCGTATGATGTACATGACATCCTGTGCCAATTTAGCAGAAGACACTAGCCACGTAAGTTAGTCATCTTTGGGCCTTCTGGTGAACAGTCCTCATGATGTCTGACAGGTCGATGACGTCTTTTCGAATAATGCACTCCTCTCAACAGAATATGCTGTGGAGCCTTCCGTATATCTGAAGCACTTTGTGGGCAGAACATCGACATTAACATACGGATGGTTCGAGACCACTGGTCCACAGCCTATTGATACCCCTCCTAACTTTTCATCTTTTGACAATATACAACTTGGTGACCTGTTTCTCCACCACACAGATCAGAAAGTGGTTTGCTGGATCCGCAAGTATTCCCCCAGTGGTGGCGTGTGGAGAATGATCTTGCCGGGAGATAATGGGTCGCACAATGAGGACTTCTCTCGCCGAATTTTGGTGTTGCATTCAGATGGGAATCCCACATGGGTCCTCCCCAAAACTGTACAGAGGTACAAGCGATTGACACGAACTAAATTGGTGGACAAAACTGCTTAGATGGTTGTGTAAAGCACATCATGGAAGTCTTATGCATAGGAACTACATTCATGACGATCTCGCTCGCATTATTTCACAAAAATATCACTTGTGTCACCGTTCTGATTGACGGAGAAGAAGTTAGTGTACAAGTACTCGAATCGAAGGAGAGTAGTTGTTTGGGTGTGTCCGGAATAGTAAATCACCAAGTTCTGCGCGACTACAATCCGCTCATCTGTTCAGGACAATGAAAAAACAAACCTCGATAAGACGCAGTAGTAGACATAGTGAATTGATTCGGAATTTCGGAGACTGTGAGATCCGGCTGCTCCAGCTTCGACTGGTTCAAGAGATGGTGACATGATCTCACAATCTATTAGGTTGGGCTGGGCTGAGCATTAGCTCGGGATGGGACACAAGCAGGCGGAGCCGCTGGGAGGGCGGGACACTGCTTATGAATTCGATCATGTCATATGACTCGTGAGTAGCACTGGAAATGGTAAAATTTGATTGACGGATCAGACTAAGTATAAGACGCATGACTAAATAAATCACTAGGAGTAAACTACGGTGCGACAAATTGAAAGGGAGTGGCGGGCAGGTATAAAGAAAACTGTTCGAGCGAGTGAGGAGTGTAATGAACGACGAACTCGATGTCATGGCAGGGAGGGAAAAAGAGGAAGCAAACAGTGCAGGTTACCGCTCAGCTGGATGCATGGCGCCGGGAGATTCCGGCAGGTTGCATTACCCGGCTGATTGTCGGCAATCGGAAATATTTTCCATGCAATACGGCCTAATACAGCACGGCTAAATCTGGGACGTCAGTATATGCACGCACTAACACTCGTTCATCCATTTATTCACTGGTTCAATCGACTGTCATTGCTCAAGTTGAAGCACTGCTTGAAAACAACTGAATTGAGGATGCTGCTGACCTCTCGAACAACTTTTTGTATGGTAAGGCATTAGATGCTAATGAGGTGCCATGGCTATCCTCAATTTCAGTGCGAGTCATGGGATATGATGCATGAGCGACCGGTCCAACAAAGCTGGACAAAGGTTATAAATTACTGATTTTAGCATTTAATGCGACACCCTACTGTTAATGTGTCTCATAGTGTATCATCATCATGAGTCATGAAGGCCACCACTTTGATGGCAATGGTATGCTCCAGTCTATGTTGGTCACCAGCATTGAAACTAATTCAAGGCCAAACAACTACTAGTCAAAACACGAAAACAATCTTTATCTGACATAACTGATGTCCATTTATCCATGGAAAAGACTCAGGTTGCGAATAATGAGAAATTTGATAGCATCCAGACTGATGTGTCGAAAATCAAGGGATCTCTCAAGCAAACCCATAAAATTGCAGTAGGCTATCGTGGAGCGTTATAGCCATTTTCTAACTTTTGTTGTGCAGGAAGGTACCTCCTCCCGCCTTATGGATTTGGAAGATGTGGTGGCATCTAATCAAGCAAAACTGGAAGATATGCTTGATAATGTGCATTGTCAGCTTCATGACATTGAAAATGTGATGGGTAAGTATTGTATTATACTAACAATATCGTGTCTGCTTGCTGAGGGCGGCACCAGTGGCATCCAATACCAAATTGGAGCCCATCGAGCGTATTAGCACCATCAAATTGTCTGTTCTGGCTCTCCATAATGTAATAGCAAAATCTGTGGAACACCACAAGGCCATTCTTTAATCCGGCAAAGTACTTTATCAGAAACTCTCGGAAGAAGTAGCCAATACAAGGGCAGAAATCAGTCAGATTGTTGATGATATTTTCCAGAATATCTCTACATTCCATCAGTCCACTACCAATGACTTGGCCACTCTTCAAGACTCCGTCAATAGGTGGCCCGATTCATATCTGCAGCCTACTACTCATGATACCATGACTAGTACCACTCTTTTGTCAGAACTTCAATTGGTGGGGTCTGAGAACTCCGCATGTCATGCGGATAACATCACCGGTCACTGGCATGCGGCTGACGATGAGACAGCTGTCAGTAAAGTAGACACTGACATATCGTCCCAAACCTCTTCCTTTACCACCGAACCTGTTATGACAGCAGTCATTTCACTCAGAGCATGCATGTATATGTACATATCTTTGACTCAATGTCACAGGTTGCATGCCGCATGGACACAAGTCTTCATTTGGTTTACACAATGCTAGGAGTCATTATCTTAGCCATGATCTTTTGCAATTCTGTGCATCTTGGCTTCATGAAAGGTCAAATGCAGATTGAAGAGTCCTTGACTCTCATACCTCCCAGCAGGATGGAAGAACGACTTATGTGGCAATTTTGTAAGGATGCATGGGGTACGGACAATGTGTAAATTTAGTTCACCAATTTTTTTTGATGTTTGTTGCAATCCGCGTAAACAGATTGCACAGATTGATATACACGTGTCATAATTCCTTTTCAGTAGTGATTGCGCTGGGTGATTGCCAGGCGATGCGGCTGGATCCTTTGTTCAAGCATTGTTGAATGATTCATCCAGACTCATGAGGATTACAATCCGCATGACACGTGAATTGAGGATTGACATCTGCGTTGTCACACCATCGGTGAAAGTAACGACCCCAAATCTTTGAAATACTCATACTGCAGTTTGATATGCAACACACTGTATGATAACATTGATCTGGAAGTTCCGGAAGTAGGTCAACTCCTTAAAGCTTAATTGATCAGAATCATTCAAATCACTCTCTCACACTAGTAGTCCATGCAGACTATCCCTTCATTCTGGAGAAATGCGACCATATTGGACGGACAATATCATAGACAAGGAGATCACCGGGAATGATGCCACAGACTCCCTGTATTTGCGTACCGATGGAAGCATTCAGGGAACACAGCAAGTCTAATTGGTCGATACGATCGAGTTTTCATCTGCAGGTCTTATATCACAGGGTCAGTCCCTTTGTCCATGTGACGCACGCCCAATGCGCTCTCAGCATGATGCACATGCTGAGCAAGGCGGAATTGCCTCTTCTCCCTTGTTCGTCATCGAGTTAGGTACGTGCATATGAAGTTGTTTCCATTGTCCTGTCGCCTCATTAGCATATAGCTTATTTCCTCATACTACAAAACTCTCCCGAGTCCTTCTGGTTGTGTATACTTCATTTTTTTTCTCACAATTTTCATTGCCAAACTGGTCAGTCTTCCTAAAGATCTTAGATGTCTGCTTAAAAATGTTGGAAGCCTCGATTACAGACAACATTCACGCTGGTGAGGCTGCAGCTGGTCAGGATTCCATTTCAATTATAATCACGAAGTCCCTCAATGACTTAATCAATCATGATTCTGGCATATCGGACAGGCGGTGTGGCAAAGATTGTTGTCTTATCAACAGGAAGTTAAGGTGATATCTAGGCCAGTCAGAGAGTACTGAGTATCAATCAATCAACGTCGGCCACAGCTGGTTCTAGTACTGATCGATACGATAAACAGTCACCTGACAGAACAGGGACACCGCCTTGACAAATGCTACAGAGCCAATTTGCATTCACGCCTCTTCACGCCAGTCTTCGCATCAACACCAGACGAGTGTGACTTCTGGAAGCTTCCGATTCAACAAATTACCATCAACGATCAGGTTCTTTCACTCTTTCATTCACTGGTCCACGGTGCACCATCACCGATAGCTGTGCTTGATACCGGGACAAGTTACAACTTTTATTTTAAGTCTGACTGCAGACATCAACACATTCTCATATGCTATAGGAACGGGTGGGTCCATGAGGTACAACCAGCAGACAGAAGCATGGTAAGTGAGGTGCGAGTTGAACTCCGATACTGCACAAGAATACATACATACTTCATCTCGAAGCATGGACACAAGATGGCTGGTGCACTGGCGGAATACAGGCAAATAACGGAGTGAGAGGGTTCTCAAACCGAATCTTAGTTGTATTCTGAATTTAACCCATAGGTCAACTCTGGAGATTGGCTTCTTGTCGTCAGAAGCGGTGTGCTCTTCGCTGCTGACCTGACATGTTCCACTTGAAGGACGAATGGTGGACCTGGATGCTCCTCCCTCGCAGGTTTGTTGCAAGAGAATGGGGTAAGCCTCTTTGTTGACAACAAGACTCATCTATAACTGAGATGTTTAAAGCCTTTCACTTGGTCCTAGGGTCAGGCAAAACCAACAGTGAACCAACACAGCTGGACCAACCTGTCCTCCGTGCTTTGGGTGGAGCCACCTGTTGGTACGGGATTTTCCCAAGGCATCCCAGACGCACAGAATGAGGATGATGTTGCTGCTCAACTCATCAGCTTTATGCAGCAGTTCTTTGAGGTCTTTTCGGTGTATTCAACAGGTGAAAGTCTAAGTTCTCAGAGAGCGTGGTAAAAGATCGTATTGACCATATTCAGTATGCTGGAAGATACGTGCCTTGTGAGTCCTAGTCAGCAGTCATCTTCTTTGAACGTAACTCTAAGACAAATGAAGATATTGCAAACTATAACTATGAAGACCTGACTCGGTTAGACCTCTCATTGCAAGGGATATGGATCAATGATTGTAAATAACAGTTTGACTTGCTCTGTCTCTTCTCAAGGGCTCATATGTGAAGCTTAGCCTTAATCTTGTCATATGTAGTGCAACAGGAAATCCCTGCATTGGACTTCGTGAATAAAGCACGCTAGTCTCTTCTCTTTTCAGTTTGTCCATTTCACTCGGACCTAGTTTGCAGGTCACTCACCAATTGATATCTAGTCAAACATACATGGACCACCTCGACGAGAAGGCCGCGACGTGCAATTACACTGGCTAGATGGATAAGTACGTCACATATCCTCCAAAAGGTCTTCTTTGCCTGCCAGGAGACTCTACCGTTTTTGCTCAAGGCTGCGATATCTGGGGTGACATTTACGTTAATGCGCAGATGATCAACCTCTCTTTATATTGATGGATACCATATTAACTTCTTTTCCTCCCCAAGTATCTGACACCATGGGATGTCCTAGGTTTTCTGTAAGCCATTCAATAATTGACTCAATGCAGCCCAGCTGACGCAGATCCAGAGACATGCAGTCTCCGATCTACTTTAACCTAACAGACGTCAAGGAAGTTATCCACGCGCCCATGGATACCGAGTGGATTGAATGCACTTTGGTCCATGTCTTCCTCAATGAAGACAGTAGCTTACCCCCTGCACTCACTGCATTACCGAATGTTATCGAGAAGAGGCAGCGGACCGTCATCGTGCACGGACTCGTGGACTTCATGCACATTGCTGATGGGTATGACTTCAATTTTCTGACGCAATGGTTTGATGACTTAGAGACAGAATTGCTATTCCTATCGCTGATGACAGCTTCATTGTCGATGGTGTGGGTGCCTATGAGTGGACACATGTAAGTTCACTACAATTTGCAGGGTCTCCGAGTTGTTGCTGATGTTTTCTGCACTAGGGTTTGAGAGTTTGCGCCAGTAGTAAGTCTGACAGTGCTGTCATGCAGACATCGTCTAACATTGAGACGGATCATTACAGGCCTCCTTCTAGATTATGCAGTACCTGATGGGGTTTAGAGACACTCCTTAGATAAATACTTACTTCCCATATCACATATGTAGTATCACAGACAAAGTTGAACTGGACGAGTGCCACACCACCGGTACCCTGAATATCACAGTCAACATGTGGGACTATGTGTCTGAGACATGTTTGCAGGACGATTATTTTCACAGATGGACCAGTACTGGCATGGCAGATGCGTTCAAGTTGTTTGTTTTCGGCAGGGTAGTAGGTACTATGATTCAATTGTCACTTGTTGATCGTTGTTTTCACCTGTTCTCACTAAATCTGATATTGACATCGACAATGACCAAGGTCAAACATCATAATAAAGGACTCGACAACAATCCTCCTTCTATTTGCTCTGCATGATCCTTGAAGTTGAAGTTCGTTCAGTTAGTGGACACAGCTACTAGCGAGTCAGTCGAGCTTTACCTTCAATCCATGGGCATGTACCATTCAGTCTGCCACTTGCGGAGCTGTGGATCGCATCCTGCATGAGGAGGTCAATATTACCATTGGTACCCATATATGCGCGTTCCTTGCCCATGGAGATGTTTATTGTTGTCATAGATCATGTAGACATCAACCCGACCGCTGAGAAGAGCATCATCATGGTCCACGGCTGGCCCAGTCTTTGGAGCTCCTGGGTGTACCAGATTGAAGAGTTCAACGTAAACATCTCTTCCATCAGCCGACGACCGTCATGTTGATTTGTTTCAGGACGAGTATCGTATGATTGCTATTGACATTCGTGGTTTCGGGGGTTCAAACCACCCTGCTGATGTATGTTGGGATTCAACCTGCTATTTGTCTCAGGTATGTTTTGTAGAAGGTCTGACTTACCTAATATCTTTATACTAGTCATGACTGGGGTGCTGACGTCTGCTACGAGGCTACGAGGAAATGAACTGATATCTTCTATGCATTGGTTGGCATGACCGTTCTGGTAAACAGATCACTATTCATCAATCTTCCTACCCAACAATCATCACCAGTATTTGCACACTGCTGGCCCTTTTGCGGACAGCGTTCAGCTCGCAGCAGTCATGCCCAAGCTAGCTTACCGAGTTTTCTTCGAGAACCACACAACAGAAGCCATAGCTGAGCTGAACAAGGCATGACGGAGGCACATAATTCAGTACTTTATTTCTGACTTAGTCGGACAGCCAAAGGTTGATAATCAACCCAGTTAGGCGGGCCATCCAACGTGGGCCCATGCATGCTTATGCACAGATGGGCCCACAGCACGGAATAGCATCCATGCTGGCAGGTGGGCCAAGTCTCGATCCCAAGATGAATGGGCCAAATTGCAATGGGCCACAAGGCACATGGGCCTGACATTGGAAGGGCTAATGGATGGGCCAAGTCCTTATTCTTGGGGAGATTTTGGGCCCATGACAGTACTGGGCAGGGCTGGTGGATGGGGCCAAACTAGTATTGGAAGAGCTTACGGATGGGCCCAGCTCAATGCGATGGCCGCGGAAGGGCCCAGCTGGTTATTGACAGTATCAGAAGATGGGCCAACAGGTTATTCCTGGGCCCATCACAATACTGGGAAGGGTTGGCGGATGGGCCAACTGGTTATTTTGGGCCCAGTAGATACCGATTCAGTATGCGGATAGGCCTGGCGTTCAAATATTGAAGTATCCGGCAGGGCCCAACTGGCCCACCAAATATAAATTCAGTGTGTGGATCGGCCCAGTACGCAAATATCCGGAAGGGCCCAACTGGTGGGCAACATACATTCAATATGCAGATCGGCCCAGTACACAAGTATTAGGAAGGCCCGACAGATGGGCTAACTGGTTATTTTGGGCCCTGTAAATTCCGATTCAGTATGCGGATAGGCCCGGCGTTCAAATATTGAAGTGTCCGGAAGGCCCAGTACACAAATACCCGGAAGGGCCCAACTGGCTGGCAACATACATTCAACGGATCAGCCCAGCTCGGTCAAGTACACAAATACGAGGAAGGCCACCAAAGCTGTGCCCACTGACAAAGATTCAGGATGCCCACATGACTGAATGGGAGGGTCGACAGACAATGGATCGGTGTCCATCCCTGCACTGGAAGATCCTTGCGATTGTGCATGGGGCAACTCGACGGATACCGGCGGTGTATCCCAGGGCGCGGATGCAGGCAACCTTTGTGATGGTGTTCGAGAGGGCGTTGATGATGACAAGGTGTTGTATGGACTCATTGCTATTGATCACTTCAGAGCGGAAGGATGTTCCTCGCATTTTGTTTGTCTCGCTAATAATATGATGGCTCCCGCCTTAACGACCATTCCCGAAGTCAAGCTGACCAAACCATTTTTGATAGACCTGACGTCATCTCCCAGATGCGAGTGTTTCCTATGCCGGTCGTGTTCACTCATGATCCAGTGTGTCCATTATCTTTAGACTCAATCTCGAGGAGGCCGGGCGGTCAATCCACCGTGAGGTCCGGTGGACGATAGTGGGAATGATCCTCGTAAGTCTCTGACTTGCAAAATACTTACCGGTGACATTTATTTACCATATGCAATGGTGATATTGGTGATACAATAATGCTAAATAAGACCTTCGAGCGTGACCCACTTCCAGCACCCGCATGTATGGTCAACCAGAGCTGTTCGGTTCATATGAGGAACGGTGAGACCGGGTGACAGAACTGTGTGGGGATGCACTTCAAATATATTGTTTGCTGGGCATTCAGCGCCGCATAATGGAACCTCTGGATGCCATGATCACAAATATTCAGGAGGGTCGTCAGCAAGAGTAAGAAGACAACGCTGAATTTCAGGAATAGTGCGGAAGTGGATCATTAATTCATGCGAAGAATGGCCCAGTAGCACTCAGATTTATGGGCGCCTCCAATGTCAGATGAATGTTTGTCCAGCTCACATATGTTGAGTCGCCGATCAACCTGCCACGGATATGTTTGAGGCACAGTTATGGAAGGTATAACCTCTGCTACCCAAACAATCTACCAGACTATACCGATCAGCTTCCGTAGCATTAACACAGGGGCAATAAGAGCTAGCTGTTTGGGAGGGAATACATCGAGCAGTGCTGTTACATGGATTACAGCGGGCATCATCATGGAAGATATGCAGATAACACTTAGTATGGGCATGAGAAAGATAGGGACACAGAGATTGTAATTATAAAGTTGGCTATTTGCAAATGCCGGATGAAATTGCAAAGTTGGATAGATGAATTTACCATTCTGGCTGCAATGCATCTCAGGAGAGCTTTGACATTGATTACGACATTAGGGATATTGACTTCACACATGAACATCTGCCCTGTGCACCGAGCTAGCAACACCTTGTCAGTCAGGAAATCGCACTCCGGGAAAGTCTGCCCTATGACGTCTTGTAAGCCATTGCAATGCTCAGACACGAGAAGACTGTCCCTCTGGAGAAACCACAAGTGAAGTGAACAAGGGCATGGCCGCATGTTCGTTTCGCATAGGACAACAGTCGAACCACTCATAGATAAACTACTGTTACATCTGTTCCATATGCTATTATTGCCCATCGCTTCACCGGTGGTGCATTGCAAATAGTCTATCCTAGCTATTAGTGGACAGATTCTTGGACACGAATCTATAGGACAATTGTGGAACCGCTGTTGAACACAATACTGTTACTCCTGGTCCACATTTTTGCGTCCACAAGCCACAAGCTTCCAGAAATACCCACAACCGGATCCAAATAAATCCAGACTTGTCAGAATTTCACAAAGTCAGCTTTCGATATCCACCGCATTCATCTTCATCACTACCAGATTTTGCTGCCAGAAATCATCATGACCGTACCTCCTGAACAAGCTAACCAAGCCTTGAACATCACATTAGCCACCCTGCAATCGCTCATGAAGCGTTGCATCAAGGTAAAGGAGGGCGATCCTGAGGCCTTAAGGTTATCGGATGGGATTGCCAGGTGCGTGGTGAGTGTTTCTGATCTTACCCTTAAAATTGTCTCAGTGAAACTAATACATTTGACACAGGCCAAGGACTTGAAAATGTATGGCGGAAACACCACATCATTCTCACCACAGCTGCTTTCTTTCGCTGCTGTTGTGAGAGAGAACTCAAAGGGCAGCACCTTCGAGAGTGTCCCAGACTGGACCTCCATTACAGACAACGACCCATGCATCAAGAGCCACCCGCGCTTCGACAAGACCGTCGATTATCTCCCTCCTTCGCTCAATGATCTTGTCATCGCTACAGCAACCACTAATCCCCCTACTACCATCACAACACCAACCACCGTCGTACCACCATCGACACAAGCGGCCTTACCATCCATGCCATCCCTCATGGAGTCGGATATCCTTGCTGGGCCTGAAGCGGAAACGAATGGATCATCGGGCCTTTGGAAGGGAGACGCCGAGGACCCCCCCATCCCAATCGACACTCCCGCCTCTCTGCCGGCAAAATACAATCTCTTCGTAGCCAGCACCAAGAAGAGAAAGCTCGTAGTAGAAGATACAGATGCGGCTGTTGCGGTAGCCCAGAACAAGTTGCCTTCCCCTTCTGAAGAGCCAGTCAAGAAAAGGAAGAAGGTTGAATCCCAACCCATTACCAAGCCTGCAGTGTGGGGCTTGGATTCTGATATCGTGACTCCATGGAAGGTATGTCTTTTCTGCATCTTGATGAACAAAAGCTGACAAATTTAAAGCATTCCGTTCGCTACCACCCCTGGCAGTGTGACAAATGTGCCAAATTAGACATAGCCTGCATCGTCCTCCCCGACAAGAAATTTGGATACACGCGCCTCGCCTGCAAAAATTGCGACAGCATGAAGATCTCGTGTGCAATTGACGGTGTTGGTGTCCGGCAGAGGTTGCAAGTGAAGGCAGTGAAAGCATCCTCTGACCTGCCCCAACAATCAAAGCCCTCGAAGTCCTGAGCTGTCTCTAAAAAACTCGTGATGCGTGTTTCTCGCTCTCAATGGAGCATTGTTCAACATGAAGGTATGTTTTCCTATTCCCTCAGAACAAGTTAAGCTCATGTAGATTCTGCAGAGAAAAAGCCAAATGTCCTTCTGGGTCGGGTGCAATCACCCGCTCCCACCAACCTGCTTGAACCGGAGCCCACTGCAAGAGAAATCTTACAGGGCATCCAGGACCTCGGCAAGTGATTGGATCTCCTCGCCACCAATGAGTGGGTGGACGCATTGGAGGTCAGAGTGGGTTCGGTGGAGACAAATCTGCTTAAGCAGTTGGACGAGTTAGAGCAATGGCTCAATGCATCTGATGCCCAGTGGAGATCCTTGGAATCCCTAGGGTAGATAGAAAATTTAAATATGGACTAACTATATAGAATGCATCCAATGAACTCCCTTATGTACTGTAGATACTCCGCAGGACTCTGTACTATTATATTATTGCATGTTCAGCCTGGTGCTGTATGTTTATCCGAGTTCCAATGATTGAATCCACGCGCATTGTTGATACAATGCAGCCACTGTCATTCCTAACTTCCTTTGCAATAGTTACAAACACAATGTCCTTCATGTCGATCCGATGTTCGGTAATATATTCTTTGAATATTGTGGGTTTGACGAATGCACCTCTGATGATGGTTGTGCATGGGCATGCATCCGGAGGAAATGCACCACCATCCATGCAGTACATTCATCTGACATGTATATCTTTCTCAAATGTGCTTTATGTTGACCAATAGTTGGTATCTGAGCATACACAAATTGTATCTACATTCGGGTATTCTACTGGCAAGTGTATCCGGACTACATTCAATGAAGGCGTGAGCCGCACAAGTAGTGGATCCTGTTGGTTGTGCAAATGACCATGATATCAGATGGCACCTGCGCATATGTATCCGATATGATCTTGCATCCTACCTGGAGGGTGCATCCAGAAGTGATTGTTGATGACCCAGATGCTTGTGTTCCGACATCCAAATTCCCCAGCCATCCAGAGACCCAAATACAATACTTGCCTGCCTGAAACACTACTAACTGGGTCCATCCATCAACATTTCCTAGCCTAAATACATATGCATTATGCTGAATGGTGGCCTTCTGATGCCCGGTCATAACCGACGAATGTATCACTTCAACAGAATATTGTCGTCGAAGCGTCGGACCCATCCAGGAAGCCCGCAACCTACTCATATCCAGATGGAGAATCCCCTGAATAGCAAAATGCGATGCTACCATGGTTCCAGTGCCTCGACGCTGAAATCCAAGTTGCATTCTGAGTCAATTCTTGGAGACCACAGTTCATAGGGCCCATTGGCTGCACACGAAGGCATCATGCGACCTATGGGCGGAAGAACACTTACCAGTCGCACTTCGATACGCACATATTTACCAAGAACATGCCTCACATGCCTACCCAAGATTTGTGAGGGGAAGTCCAACACTCTGGTCTTTTTTTTTTTCAAATCCGAGTACATGACGTCTTTCATTGACCAGCAATATAGTCCATTTACCAAACCTGTGATCCACAATCCCCACAATTTATCCGGCGACATTGTTTGGGATATTTAGCATTGAGATTTGGGTCATAGCTTACGATTATTTGTGGCCAAATTACCGGAGCAAGCTTGTTATTGTAAATCCCCACAATAATGCTTTTGAAGCTCCGACTATATAATGCAACACTGTCCGAGCTGACTTCATCCATCACCTCACCGCAACCTGTCATGACTGATCATTACCAAATGCTCCATAAGTCTGCTGCCGATACATTTTCTATCTGGGATGCAGCAGAAATATTTGAATACGCCACTTCCAGATTCACTGCAATCCATATGTCAATAATGAAAGATAAGAGCAACAACTCTAGCTCGTATCAGCACACATTCATCTGCGGGTGCATTACGCGAAGGGTGGCCGAAGATACGAGACCCGGACATTGCATGTCTCTGATGACCGACAGGCTCCTATTGCCCTTCAAGGTAGCGGAGACTTTGGGCGTAAAGCCATCTTCCGGGTTCACAGGCGGGGGCCCATGACACTGTTTGATGTTAGACATTTCCTTAGTACAGAAAATTCAAACAGACCTCATGTCCCTGTTCTGAGGTCTGTTTGAATTTTCTGTACTAAGGAAATGTCTAACATCAAACAGTGTCATGGGCCCCCGCCTGTGAACCCGGAAGATGGCTTTACGCCCAAAGTCTCCGCTACCTTGAAGGGCAATAGGAGCCTGTCGGTCATCAGAGACATGCAATGTCCGGGTCTCGTATCTTCGGCCGCCCTTCGTGTAATGCACCCACAGTTGTACCGTGCATCTATATCCACTCATGTAGAGCTTGGGCATTGGGCGGCCAAGCAAGGACTGGATGATATGTGCAGGTTCCTTCAGCACTGGACATCCGTCTATACAGGCGCGGCAATAATGTGTAACAGGAAGTTGCTGAGCCATTGAGATCCAAAATGCCCCCCGGAAGGCTTCAATATCCTGACTTGCATAGGTGGCTATGGCCATGGCATAATGCAATTGACCAACTTGGGCATTGAGCTGGCTTATGATCCAGGAGTTATGGTTAGCTATTCTGGCCGGCTCGTGAGGCACGGCGTTCAGGTTGCCGAGGGAGACAGAATCGTCTGGGCTTGGTTTATGCGCGATAGTGTGCATAATTATGCTCGGACCCCGCGTACAGAGTATGCAAAATACAATCGTGCGGACTTTGCAATATACCACCTAGCCCAATACAATCAGGCAGATTTCATTCGGTACCACACGTTGTAGTTCATTTTCGGTTGATGTTGCCTTACGGACAATATGGCTCATGTGACATTTTGCGTCCCATCTTCTCGATTCTCAAATGCACCATCGGTCATATCCGAGAAATAGGTCTTCGTTATATGCAGGTGGACATAATGATACTTCATGTAATGTTATAGCGTTGTCTTTGTTGTCCTGACCAAATTTTTCACTTACATATAACTTTTATTTGACTTTCATGACCCATTCGGTAGACGATCCTCCGGCTGCATTTGCCGGTTCACTACAACAGGATGTTCTACCGGCCAGAGCACCAACATTTCCATCGATGTCCAGACATATCCGGAAAGCTGGTCCTGGATGCCCTCAAGATGTCTCTTGCGGTTGGCTCGGGATCGGCGTTGTTGATCGGCGCAGGTTGATCATCCTGTTCCGGCTGTCAGCTTGTGCCAACGGTTGGGACTGTGCGCATGGGCACACCAGCCGCCGGGCCAGGCTGTCGCTTCTCTTCTAAGAGTCATTTAGATCAGTCATGAGTTCTTCCGATGTGACAGAAAACTCACCTCCGACTATGTTGGGTTCAACCCGAGGGGATTGGGCAAGTGTTCTCTTAGGGATCTTGGAGATCGTGCAGGACTTCTGAATGCACGTTCTGGATGGCTTTGATGTCCCGCGGCCACCTTCACTTGCATTCTCTTCCTGACACCGACACAGTCGATCACACAGGTGATCTTCATATGATCGTAATTTGCATCCCAAAGTGTATGTGAAGACAATGCACATGTGATGGTCATTGCTTGCGGACATCATCCGAAAGCTGTAGCATGCCAAATATCTATAATACATCGCACCGGATTCATACGAGTGACTCATCCGAAACTATGGACATGCATTCAGTCAGCTTCCAAAGACTGCGACACAGTTTGATAACCATATGCAAGTCGCGTGTATCCGAACTTTTTGTCCGGAAGGACAACGCAGGGTATGTCCAATTTCGTGCACAGCACACGCATCGGTAATAATCGAATTGGCTAGCTACAATACAACAGATACTGATCTATGTCGCCATTCTCCCTAAGTCATTGTATGATAGCTTTATGAAAAACAAAACAAACTGGTATTAAGCAAAGTGGACTGTTGGTGATACAACAAATGATAAATGAATCAAATGGCCATTAGCGACCCTTCACCAAATATACGGCGGCGCTTTGCAGCTGGCTCCCGACCGTCATCTTGCTCAGGATGAAATAGATAATTCAGCATATCCAAGTCATGCTCCGCCACAATCTTCTGCCCATCCGATGCACCGTCAGGACGTCGAATATCCTTCCGATTGACATACATAGGATAATGGGTCTTCCGGATCGGTCCAGCCCAATCGAAATTGAGCAGCATGAAGTGTTTGTCGTCTCGCACAACGAAATTGGTATCTTGAAGGTCGCCATGAACATAGCCGTCATTGTGATCGTGTAACTCCCGGATGAGAGAGGTGATGGCCTCCTTCAGCGGCTGATGGTTTAAAACACCTATCTCACTGAGCAGTCGATATGAGCCAGGTCGTTGCGGAAAGCAATCATTATCAATATCAAGGGCATCCATAATCACCATATTCCAGCCGCTGGGTAAAGAATTGTAGGTGATAAGTTTGGGAGCGTTCCCCTTGCTGGCACAGAATTTGTGGGCCTGAGGGGAATAGTGCCTAACTAACTTGATGCATATCTTGCTCCCGGCCACATTGCCGACGGTTTCCCCAAAGAAGATAAGTCGATCCCAGAGGATTTGAGTCTCATCATACGAGAATTCCTGGATGTAACCAGTTGAATTGGTATAACTCCGAGGGTAAGGACATTTTAGATATGGATCTTCAGGTTCGAGGGACAGGATTGGACAGGAGTACAGATTTGTAAGTTTGTCGACGGCAATTTTGAGAGCCCTGAAAGTACGAGCCACCATCGCTTGCATACGGAGGTCTGTTGAATGCCAAAACAGAGGAATGATAGGGACCAGGACATCGGACTGGACCTTTTCTGTGAAAACAGAGCCTGCAAAGCCGATGCATGCCCCTAATTTTGATCAATATAGGGCTTTGGCCATTAATCTGGTGGAATGAACTAACCAAAGACAATGACATGGATGCATGGAATGAAAGACCGGAGCCTCGCTATCTCAATCTTCGAGTCTTCCATAAACTTGCAGTAATACAACATCGCCTCCATGAATGGTTCAGCAGCACCACTTCCAATCTCGTTCTTCCCCTCAATTATCACCTGCACAAACTTTCCATTGGTAGACAAAAGATGTCCGTCCATCGTACATCTTGTCGAGCCAACCATAGAAGCATTGAGTATAATACCGTAGTTGCGGAGCACTTGCCGGAATGTATTCATCTGCGCGAGCTCATTGGGATAGAAGGAGGCCATCTTTTCCGAAAGTTGCAAAACAAAGTCGTTGTTGCGGACAGTCAGTTGATGATTTTGACAATCGTCCACGAACTCGGCGAAGATAGGCTCGAGAAGAGTAACCAGAAGAGGGTCTGCGGCTCTGCGAGGACGATTGCAAAGGTACTCTTGCTGGTCCTGCTTTGTAGAGAATGCGGACAGTTTTGCACCAGCTGATGGAGTACCCATGTGTTACAGGCATCCGTAACACCTACAGGAGCCTCTGCTCTGCCTACGCCTGCCCCCGCTCTACTAGACTCTCCGTGCGGCGGTGCGCCACCCGCGCTTAGAAAGACAGCGGTCTGGACCGCTATGACCCCACCCCTGGCCTAGATGGCCTGGTACCTGATCCATGGAGGCTGTACGCCTCATGGTCACCCTAGATCAGCACATGTATACGGCATGTCGCTTCATGAAGATCCGGAGCGCCCTTGGCGCCTCATGTACCTATGCGCAGTCGCACTTGGCGCTGCATGCTTGATCAGAGGTTAAGCCTCATGTACTTATCTGAACCTCATGTCTTGTTATCATAGATCCTAGATATACTATAGATTACAGACTGAGCTTGAACACTTGTAGTTAGACCCTATAAGTAGACAGATTATTGTACTTAGACTTTACTTTAATCTACTAGGTTCATCCCAGAACTTGTTCAACTAAGCCTTACCAGCTTCCTTGCATAAGACTGCACTTCTAAGTCGCCCCCTTACGACTTAGCACGTATCCGCTAGCCCTGTATCTCGATGAGCGCCGTCTTACCGAGATCACCGGAGGAACCCTTGACATTCTGTCAAGCCGAGAACCACCCTCAGCTTCAGTAGGCTCACTCGAGCCGTCGCTGAGAAGACCTATCCTAGTTCGCACACGCCGACCAACGGTCAGCGTAACACCACGCCCTTCTTGATAAGTGATTCGTCGATCAACAGCTGGAATGTGTCGTGCAACGGCAGGATGTCGTACGACAATATGAATACATCCGCGCTCTATTCCATCCACAAACACATCGGACAGTTTGGTTAACGGGTGCAGCTCGACACCTTCATCTATGATCGCGTTGCAGAAGTTTGTATCATTCAAGTTGATCTTGACCTTCCACAATATCAGATTATCAACATCCGATTGTAGGCATCAGATCACTCACCTTCCATAGCTCAAGACGGTCAGCGGCAACATGGTCAAACTCTGGCTTCTTCGCGTCCTTGATGACATTTCTGAGGTCACCAACGGTCTTCGTCCGCTCAACGTTAACTGGGAAAATATGGCAAGGATCATCGCCCAAGACAATGCAGTTGAGTTTCAGGTGGAGCAGTCCAGACATCTGACAAACAAGAGTGATAGTATCTCGAGTGGTGACTGCAGTGAGTGCTCACTGCTGCAGCAACAGCGCACTAACTTACAAAGCCAAGCAGCCACACCCCGTGACCAGGAAATTAATTTTCTGTGAGAATACACCGTGCCTGGGAAATTTGTCATCGACTGGTTTACCCCTTTCTGGGTATCCCATGCACGACATAACACCATTTATTGGTGAGAAGTGGATTAAGGCCTATTGCGGTGGACGCGGCTCTTCAGCAATGGTCAGAAGCAAATGCTTTTGATAGTCTGTTGACGCAATCAGAGGTGGTGTGATTTATCTTGGATGCACCGCAACAGGCCTTAATCCACTTCTCACCCATAAATGGTGCTATGTCGTGCATTGGATACCTGGACAGCCATACAGGATCTTCCGGAAGCAATGGTGGATTGGCCTTTCCCGACCATGCGCACAGTCCCAACCATTGGCACAAGCTGATGGCCGGAATAGGATTATCACTCGGATATGAAGTCCCAACTATCGTCGATGAGGAGCTTAGGTATCGGTTGGGTCTACATCTGGGCCATCCGCCGGTACTGGGTACAATAGCCTGTCCACCGGAGGGCATCTAGGAATTCGAATTTCCGGATCTGTCCGGGTCTGGAACAAAGGTAGAGCTAGTATACAAGTCTAAGTTAAAATATGGTGCGTAGTACTAGGTAATGTAGGAGACAAACAAATCCAGCAAGCTTGAACATAGTGATGGTAAAGACATAAACAAGGTTTAAACAAATAGGAAAGACAATTGAAAAGCCCTTCATCGCTGGCCCACCAGTCCCTTGTATTGACTATTACCCCAGTCAACAAACAATTCATTGTTATACTATATGATGTTGGCCCACCCGCCCATCTTGGCAAATTCACTCCATTCCCATAAACTACATAATGGCCTGCCCGTCACTACCGGTGATGGCCGTCATGTCCCGCCCGCCCTATCTGCATATGGGCCCACCTTGGATGGCTCAACTTTACTTCCCACCCCTTCCACAACCCCCTACTATAACTTAGCATTCCATCTCATCGCTGTTCCATCAGAACACATTCATCCTTTCTGCACTGCCCATCCGGAGGTGTACGGATTGTCTTTCCCCTTCTGGAATTTGGGCATTGTACAGGGGCTCCTCCCGGTTGTACATTCTTTCTTTTCACACACAGAAGTGCCTGAAGCCACATCTTCAGCATCCACAAGATCATCCCACCATTAGTCACGAGGATCTGATGGCCCAGTGATATCATGCGTTTCTCTAGAGCTAGCTAGTTCTATCCGAGTTATCTGTGATTCACCTGCATCCGGCTGTGAATCTTCATCTGTAAGGTTAAATGGTCCTACTAAGCTCTCCTATGAGATATCAATGTCAGAAAATGATCCAGAATTCGCATATCCCGTGGCTGATGAAGCAGCCATTGCTGCAATGTCATGTCCCTGGACCATGTCAAGGGCAATGATATCTTCAAGAATATATCCAAGGTAGGACACACCTCCGCCGATTTATATCCTGCATGGGAGTTCCTACTATGCCCGGATTTGAAGATTTGCAGGCTGACTTACCGTTGAATCTTGGCATTACCGACGGCTTGGGTGGAATGCATGAGATCATAATGGCACTCATCCACGCCACCGAGCATTATGACCATGCAATGCATTGTGCTGTATCCAAAGACTCGATCTGTGTCGGAACTGTTGGACTCAGAAAAACAGTCATAGCTACTATGGCAATTAGGAAGCCTGCAAGAAGCATTTGTCACCGACTCGCTGGAATCCAAACACGCGGTCTTAGTAAAACAAACACGTTTGCCTACCATGAATGTTTCATTTGAAATCAGGAAGTCGGGGAAGGCTTACCATGCACAAAGCATGCTCCCATATTTGGACAACCCAGCTGTGGCAACCGAATGCGTGGGATAACGATCGCCGAAGAAGTTGTATTACATCATAATTATATTAACCCGACCACGTTGTCTTTTGCCTCAATGCGTTCTCGGAAAGACCCATGACTGACGGATTGGTATATATAAGTCCCAAGACTTGATAAAAAATCATTGAACTCATCTTTCTTTTCATACACCATCGTCAGTTACTCACTACAGTCTGTAAATACTGAGAATGACACCTTCGGAAATTGCTAACAAGGCCCTCGACTCCACGCTTGAGGTTGTACAATTGCTGATGAAGTGTTGTATGAAATTAAAGGAAAGCGACCCAGCCACATTGATAATCTCGGATGAGATCGCTAGATGGGTGGTAAGCCTCGCTGCCTACAATCGTTACTTTATTTTTGGATAAACAACTCAATTTGGTGCAGGCAAAAGATTTGAAGCTTTACGGGGGAACCCCCACATCGTTCTCCCCTCAGCTGCTGTCTTTTGCAGCCATAGTACGGCAGCATTCAAAAGCTGGGAAATTTGTATCATTGCCCGACTGGAACTCCATGATGGAAAACGACCAGCGCATCAAGACGCACCCACTGTTCCACAAGACTGTAGGCTATCGTCCCTCCCTCACGCACCCCGATGCAGAACCAGAACCCAGCATGTCGTCATCCACAGTCCTGCTGGAGCCGCATTCAACGAGTGGGACTGTTGTGGAAACCTGTATGCCTCAACATCTTGTCGCATCAAAGGCCCCGCATCTCATTCAGTCGCTCCATGTCGTCCCTGAGGTGCAACTGAGGACATCTGAGTGGATATCTCCTGTTGCACCGGTTGTGGAACCCATGATGTCTGGCGTCCGAAGTACCATAACCCCTATGGTCATACCGGAACCATCACCACCGGTTTCAATGCCTCCTGGGACTGTCGGACAAAACATGGGAAATATCGGAACGGTACGGTGGGCCTTCCCACTGACCGGTAACCTGCAGAAAATGAAAACGGAAACGGACGACAGCGAACCCCAACCGCGCTGGATATCCCGGAAGCCGGTTCGGAAATGAAAGAGAAAGTTTGAGTCGGATGATGAGGGGACGAGTGCCACTGGTACCATTCATGTTAAGGTGACTTTGAGAGCATTTATCTGTTTGTTGCTAATGTGCATTGATACAGCAGAGGGCATTGTCGGTGAAGGCCAGACATGCCCCCATCCAACTTTGTGGACGAGAGAGGTTTTTGGCATGCAGAAACCAGGGTAAGTCGTCCATGTAGCTGGAGTTACCGTCTTACTTGGGTTTCTCCAGCCTGCCGGATGGGGTCTAGATGCCACAGTTGCTACTGCGGTAGAGGTAGGCAGACAATCGCATTCGAGTAAATATGCCCTCACATATTCCAGCATTCCGTTCACTACCATCCCCGCAAATGCGACAAATGCATCAAAATGAACGTGCCATGCATTGTGTTGCCTGACAAGAAGTTCGGGTGTACAAGACTCGCTTGTGCAAACTGTGATGAGATGAAAATTACCTGCGCGATCGACGGCGCTGGTGTCTGGCAGAGGCTGCAAGCAAAGGCGCAGGGAGCTGCGATGAAAACTGGCATCAATGCACCGCTCAAACATTCTAGGATGCATGCACCTAAGTCACGCGCGGCTGTTACAACACCTTTTGTATCCGCTCCTGCGAAGACAACTAAACTTTCCAGACGTTCATCCTCCCTTGTCCTACAGAAAGTTGTGCCGGACAATCCATTGATTGGTAGGCGCATCCATTGTATCCTCCCGACTTGCTCACCGAGGATTTTGACGACATACTCAGAGGTCGAGCAAGGACCAATGAACTTGATGCCAGAGAAGGCGCCACCGAATATGCAGCTGTTCAGATCTCTGCAACTCCCACCGGTCGACATGCTAGCACCAGTCCTACCATCTGTACCAGCCACCCCCTCAGAGCCTGAACCCACCGCAAGAGCCATATTGCAAAGCATCCATGACCTTGGCAGGAGATTTGATCTCCTGGCAACCAATGAGCGGATGGATGCTTTGGATATGAGGGTGGATTCGGTAGAGCGGAGGATTAGCCTGAGGCTGACGGTGCTGGAGGAATGGTTCACCGTATCTAATGTGCATCAGGAATTGTTATCACAGTCGATCGGTAATCTGTCTATGTCCTTACGGGTGCACAGCAACAATCCGGGTGCACATCGTCCTCGCGCCGACAGTAATGCGCACGCACCCCAGCACCTGCCAGAACCAACCATCGCCTCATGGCTGACAAATAATCCTGCTGGCGATGAACACCCGGGCATCTCCACCATAGGCAGGGAGTACACCCATGCATGGGACCAGTCCATTATGATGGGCATGCAAGGCGACGCCCAGACCTCGACATCTCGTTGGCGGCAGACATACCCCCCGGATCCTCCTTATATATGCGAGCCTTTGATTGCATCTTCCCCATTGTCCAGCACGTAACCCGTCAGAACACATGAGTAGATCTTGACTGCATAACTAGTTCATGGCGCTCCCTTGATTTGCATTCCGCTCTGGCATCAAATTTGACCTCACTTTCATTACAATTTTGGTAGATAAAGCAGGTTGAATTTTGCTTAGTAACAAATGTAAAGATGTAATCTCGGTGATCAAACAAAAACTTCAATCCAGGAATGTGCTCGGAATATGCGAGAGACATACGTGGACCATCATTGAATCGCCCATATCCGAAACAGAGGAATCGCTACCAGAAGGTTTGAAGTCAGTTATGACACCTCCCGCCCGGTTGGAATTTAGCCGGTTGGTCGTTCTTTGTATGTGATCGGCTCGGATGTCCTGTCCACATGATATCTTGCATGAACCGACCAATAGGTATGGTGCCGATGCAGCTGCACAGATGTTTCAGATTATCTCAGACACTACGGATGCCTGGTTTCAGTCGGCTGTTGAGGAAGCATCATGATGAGGCCTGCAGCATATGGATCATCAACGGTGATCTGAGGGGCTGGCGATAAATACAATGGCTACCGGACAGCATGCTAAGGTCTTGATGAAAATATTATTTAAAGCGTGTCAGATATCCTGCAGTACCAAGCTGAACTCCCAATGCATGTTGTTCTGGATATTACGACCTTCCACCAAGCAATCACTGCTCCACTCAAGGACTTCTGAAAGCTCATTTGCTACCTTCGATAACATTCCCTGATGCATTTCACACCCTTGCATTTCACTCTGGATGAAGTTTCTTTCCCCACTTCGGAGGAGTTTGCAATGATAATTGAACAAATGCATCTCACCACTCAATTCCATCCTTTGTTCTTTGAATGGTATTCTGCTGCCTCGGATTTGCTGGCTGTATGGTTACCATCAGCAGAGAAACTGAAGGTATTATCATCCACACCCACATGCAGGAGGGTAACACAAACAGACCTATTTGATGATGATAGTTCAATCCAAGGTGTTGATGTGTTAATAGCTGTAGGCATGGCAACCAAATACATCGGACAATGGTAGCAACAGGCATGGTATTATGTTATAATGTAATTACACTGAGTCTACATTACCGTGCTTTCACAAAGTACTTTCTCGGAAACATCCACAACCAACGATCTTTATATAAATTCCGATACTTGTGCAAATTCTTAGTGTCACCTTTCTGTCCTTGCCGTGTAGTTGCATTCAACAAACTTGTTTGTTTTGAACACCGCTATGACCCCCGAAGTAGCGAATGACGTGCTCGACACCATGCTTGCGACTTTGCAATCGCTCATCAAGTGTTGCATCCACTTGAAACAGGGCGATCCAGAAGCTCTGAAGCTATCGGATGAAATTGCTAGACGTGTTGTAAGTCTACTTTCGTTTACATTCATCTGATTGTTTAAATTGGCACAGGCAAAAGACTTGAGGCTTTATGGGGGAAGTGCAACACCATTCTCCCCCCAGCTCTTGTCCTGTGCAGCCGTTGTGCGTCAATACTCCAAGGGTGGCACCTTTGAAAGTTTGCCCGACTGGAACTCCGTGGTCGATGATGATCCATGCATCAAGAGCCACCTGCGCTTCCACAAAACATTGGACTACCGTCCTCTCGCTGCAGTTGGAACTCTTCCCATTTTGAAGGTTCGAGCTACCGGGTTGTCATCTATCATTAAGCCTCTTACTGTTCCCGCTGCTGTCCGTCCTTTCATAAAACAAGCTCCCACACTGGAAGCCAACTTGGCGCTGCTGTCTCCATTGCCGGCCTCTCTGGAGCTGGAACCGTTGACTCTTCTTGCTCCATCAGTCACTTCTTCTACACCTGCAACAACAAAGTACAAGCTCTTCGTGCCAGGCAATATGTCGAACAAGGTCAAGGTTACTCCGCACTCTACGAATGACAAGAAGAGAAAGGCTGAAGAAGACAATACCAATTCGGCGGACACTCCCAGGTCCCCATCTAGATCGCGCAAGCAGAATCTGAAAAAAATCAAGAAGTTATCGTCGCATTATGCGCAAGATCAACTCCGTATAAAGAAGAATGGAACTACAAAGGTAGGTCTAGTAACCGTTTCCCATAGTAAATCGCTGATGCAGCTGGTCACTGACATTGCCCAAGGAAACATCATTGTCAGCGGGATCTGAAAAGGTATCGGACCCGGAAACTCAGGACGCGATTGACATGGCCTCTGATGATAGTTTCTGGGATGCAGAAACTAGGGTGAGTGACTTCCAGCTCTGGCTCGGTGCTCTGTAAAACTAACTATACAAATATTTCAGCCTCGTGATTGGGGTCTGGATTCAACGATTGCCACAGAAGTGGAGGTATGTTTGTTTGACCTATCAATGGCAGCACATATTGACCCATGTCAGCATTCCATTCGCTACCATCCACAGAAATGTGACAAATGCAAGAAATTAGGCATACCTTGCATTGTTCTGCCGGACAAAAAAGTTGGATGCATGTGACTCACTTGCGCCAATTGTGACAAGACAAAGGTGACTTGCGCAATAAATGGTATGGGTGTCCGGGACAGGTTGCAGGCTGAAGCCAAAGCAAAGGCAGTGGCACGAGTAGCCAAACCTCCCAAGCGCTCCCAGTCACGTGTCCCCAAGGTCCGAGCAGTCAACAAGACACTCAAAAAAGTTTCACCGGCTGCACCGAGCATTCTGGCAGTACCTTCAGCCGCCGATGTTATGGAAGATAATGTCGAACATGGCGGTGAGCACAGGACCCTCCAAAAGGCTGCACCGAGCATTCTGGCAGTGCCTTCGTCCTCCCATGTTATGGAAGATATTGTCGAACACGGTAGTGAGTGCAGCTGCGCCAGAATTGCATTTCGACTCATTTGTAACCGCCTTAGATGTTGAGGAATGACCGGTACATTTGACAGTGGCTCCTGCCGAAGCAACACTGTCCCCACCAATTGCCACACCAATGATGATCAACCACCCGATGGAAGCCAACCATCCGGCGGAGCCCGAGCCAACTGCAAAAGACATTCTGCAGGCCATCTGGGACCTTGAAAGCAAGTTTGACCTCCTTGCTACGAATGAGTGGGTGGATGCATTGGATGCCAAGGTCGTTTTAGTGGAGGAAGTCTTTGGCCACCGGCTGGCAATGTTGGAGCAACGCATGAATTCCTCCGATGCACAATGGAAGGCGATGTCATCATCGGTCGGACATTTGACAAATTGTCTCCGGGACCACAAAGACGACCTGGAAGCCCACAGACCTCGTGTGAACACCACTGCCTATGCACCTCCACAGCACCCGACTGCTCAGCTTCCAGCGTGGCTCCATGGTACCGGTGGTGTCGATGATCTGGGTATCTCCACAGTTGGCAGACAGTGGACACATGCATGGGACCCATCTGTCGCGACAGGTGTGCAAGGCTGCCTCGAAACATCTGCATCGGCTATGTGGACGGGTTATCCTCCAGATACCCCCGTTCTTCAGGAAGCTTCAATTGAATCCTCTTGATTGTCCAACACGCCATCCACCATGTCTGATAGGTAAATTGTCGGATCGACGTAAGTTGTTGGACTGGTGTCATGTAATTTCATACTGTTTTGTGACTGCTTAGTTTATATGCTTTACTTTGGATACTAATGCTGTAGTTGACTATTCTTACTGCATTTACATTCCAAGTTTGATATTTGAGTTCGCAATGCCAACAAAGGAAGGCGGGACTTATCATCATCTCCGGTGCAAATTGCATTTGTGGGTTGCTGAATTACCAAGGCTCAAATTTTGGTCAACACCTAGGGCTGTATTTGTTTGCCGGTTATTCTTTACTCAAGAGAAGTTCCATTTTGACATATAATGCTGCCTAACGGGAGTCCCCAAATAGAAATATGCGAAACATTCCATGATAAATAAAGGACCTGCGCATGATAGGAGATTCAATTTCCGACCTAAACATATATCTAAATATTCAGAATCACTCCATTTGGTTGGTCTTGGTGCTCGATATGATCGATTCGGCTCATCCATCTCTATCTCCGAGAATGAGTCAGCTAGGATCATTTGCGATGAAAAGGGTCATGGGATCAGTGAATTTGACCCGGGACAGAGGAAATACTAAATTCACTGAGCACATGAGCTTCGATTTCGTCTTAGGTCCGGTTCTGGAGATCATTGGTTGGGCCCATCCATCTTCCTCGCTGATGCTAGATTCCCTTGGCCCATAACCTTGACGGATGGACTAAACTGATGATTGCAAGAAGACTTCCCCCTGGATGGTGCCGGAACGCATAACGGATGGACTCGGCTACATAGTTCGAGCATATTTGAGCTCGGAACACGTGACAAATGGTCCTAGAGACATGCATAGGTATTATTCATTAATTTTATTCTAGTTTAAATCTAAAAACAATGGCATTGATCACATTGATTGCATTGATATAAGTGCAGGAGGGTACGCTTTGGAATTGTACGTCCCTTGTATCTGTAAGGGTCTGGAATGGTTTTGGCTGACATTTTGTGCTCACAAATGTATGGCCACACTCGGGGGCATGGGGAATGCTTTAGTAGCATCAGAATAGAGTCTATAGGTTTGTGTCAAAATATCTGGATTCACATCCTGCCAGTGTAAATATGGCGGATGACCCGTTTTATCATCTATCATCTCATGTGCACCATTTGCATCATCCAAGCACATATCTTTGCATTTGTTCTCATACCAAATTCAACTGGCCTGGTGCACTACAATTGTAATAAAAATCAATTCAAATCCCATGTAACTCTGAAATACAAAAGCAGGAAACAAGATGAACTCAGTGCATGCCACTGGTAATGATTCACCCCTCCTATTTCGCAGGTGTGGGGCGCAGGTGAGCCTCATATTGAATGCCGATGTCCCGTCGTCACCCTCTACATCCATCATACCCGACTAATTGCATTCATGGGTGCGTTCCCTACCAACGGTTGAGATTCCCAGGCATTCATCAACGGGGGCATTTTGGGGTGCATATTTGGTACCATTGGAGGAGCCAGGACGGTGAGCGGCCGGATCATTCTTATGGATTTGCAAGGACATTGACAGATTACCCATCGATGACGTGACCGACTGCCAACACGCATCCGATGCAGTGATCTGTTTCTCCAGCACCATCAGCCTCCATCCAAACCTGTCCTCCACCAAATCAACCCTTGCATCCAACACGTCCACCCGCTCATTGGTTGCAAGGAGATCGAATCTCCTGCCAAGGTCCTGGATGCTCCGCAAGATGTCTTTTCCGCTGGGTTCAGGCTCCGGGAGATTGGTGGGTCCTGGTGGCTGCAATGGAGCCGGCATTGAAATGATTGCAGGGAGTCCCATTTCCGATGGTTTGGAAGGGTCCGACGACTGCATGTTTTGGGGCGCTAGCAGAGCTGGATGCTTAGGCCTTAAGTTCGTCGGTTGTTCTGAGTTAGGGACAAAAAGTTTAATAAGTTTGAATGATATCACGAATAGGCATACCATTCAGCGGGTTGTCCACAGTAACAGTCTGAGCCACACGAGTGGACGAACGAGTGGCTGGTTTCATTGTCTTGGCCGGAGAAGATTTTGCCAGATTTTTCACAGCAGGGCGTGACTTGTTCACACATGTCCTAGGACGTTTGGGAAGAGGATTGATATTCGGTTCACCAACAGCTTCCTCCACCTTTACTTGCAACCTCTGCCGGACACCAGCGCCATCGATCGTGCAGGCAATCTTCATCCCATCGCAGTTTGCACAGGTTAGTCTGATGCATCCGAACTTCTTGTCAGGGAGAACAATGCAAGGAACCTTCAACTTGACGCATTTGTCACATTTCTGGGAGTGGTAGTGAACGGAAAGCTGGACCATGCGTTAAGCTAATATTGACCACACACATTTGCTTGCCTGCCTACCTCCATTGTGGCAATGTTGGAATCCAAACCCCATCCGGCAGGCTAGAAGGGTGCAAGTAAGACTTGCATCACCGAGGCAGAGACGACTTACCCTAGTTTTTTCATCCCAAAAACCTCTGTCATTTACCAATTCTGTTGCGGAGGTGTCTGCTAATATGGCATCCGGAGCCACAACATTGAATGTCTTTACTGACAATGTCTTCTGCTATATCAATTTCTCGTGAGCAATGAACAGATATATACCGTCAGAGTCACCTTAACATGGATGGTACCAGCGTCTCCTTCGTCTCCTCCATCCGACATAAACTTCTTCTTCCGTTTGCGAATCGGCTTCCGGGAAATGGGAGTTGGTGTGAGTCCATGCGCTACCTCTGCTTCTTTGCTGTCATTGTCGCTCTCTTCCGCTTTCCTTTTCGTCTTCCTGGGCTGTGCAGTTGTCTCTGTCTTCATGCTTCCAGCCGTATGGATACCGTGTCTCACCATCATGGGGGCAATGGAACGTGGCAGGCAGGTCGGTGGCTGGAATACCAATGGGGGGGCAGCACTGCTTCGGATGTCTGATATCATTAGTTCTGTTACCGGAACCCCCAGAGTTTGTAACCTGGGCATACTTGGTAGCACTTCATTACCAGCTGATGGAACTAGTTGTGTCGCCTTCCATGAGCCGAGCTGAGGGGGTCTAATTGATTCCGCAAGAGTCTTTACCATGGAGTCCGCCAGCACTGTGGTGAGTTGGGGTTTTGCAAAGGTGGAGGAGCGGTAGTCCACAGTCTTGTGGAACCACGGGTGACTCTTAATGCGCGGGTCGTTGTCGATGACAGTCTTCCAGTTGGGCAATGACACAAAGATGCCAGCCTTGGAGTGCTCCCGTACTATGGCGGCACAGGATAGCAGCTGAGGGGAGAACAATGTAGCACTCCCCCCATAAAGCTTCAAATCTTTTGCCTGCACCAAATTGAGTTAGTTATCCAAAAATACGGTACAGATCTGGTGGAGCAAAACTCACCAGGCATCTGGCGATCTCATCCGATAACGTCAGCGTGCCTGGATCACTTTCCTTTAATTTCATACAATGCTTCATCAACGATTGTACAGTCTCGAGTGTAGCCTGGAGAGCGTTGTTTGCAATTTCCGAAGGAGTCATAACGTATATAGAATTTAGTGAGCAACGGGTGATGGTATATGCAAAGAAAGATGACTTCAATTATTTTTCATAAGTCTCAGGATTTATACCGATACTTTGGTTATGGGCGTTTCCGAGAACCCGTGGCCATTGTCTAAGCACAGTGCTGTGGACCTGTTAATAACATAGTCACATAATACAACTTCTTCTGTGATCATTGTCCCACGCATTCCGTTGCCACAGTGGCACAGTCGGGCAATCCACATATCTAAGTATATCTTGGCACATTGTAATCCTTCCCTGACCTCCTTATTTCACACAAAACAGTCATGTTTGGAAAACACGTTTGTTTTGCTACTTCGGTATATTCGGATAATGGTGACTTGGTCACCAGTGCTACCTCTCACAGTAGCTATGACAAATCCTCTGACTCCCACAGATCCACGTGCAGCAACTCTCCGGAGATAGCAAAACACAAATTGGAAGGGCCGCTCGCCTGGTGGAGTGGATACACACCATTAGACTCATGGACTCCGCCAATGCCTGCCCAGATACCGAGATTTAAGGGCCTGATCGGAGTGGAACCTTATATAAGGTTCAAATGTAAGTCAGCTCTCGAAGCTTCTGATCCGGGATTGCTAAAAACGCGCAATGCAGAATATAAATTGGCTGACGAGGTACGGTTGAGCCAAGAGTGGACAAACGATCCCATCACAAACAGGGACATAAGTATGTTAATTCTGGCCCGACTTGTATCGCTAAGCTAACCTTACAATGCAGGATATGACATGTGCTTCTTCGGAGAATTTGATGAAGTTACAAGCATGCTAGCAGGTTTGTCACATCCCGTCACAGCCTGGATATATTCTAATAAGATTGTTGAAGATATCCATGTCCTTGACATGGTTCATGGTCACAGTCATGCCGTGACAGCAAAGGCCAGTCCACAATCCCAAGGACTTACCAACTTGGACCAGTTGCCTCTCGGTCGCATACAGGAGAATGGCGGTTCCATGGATCAATCCATGTATGAAGATGAGGGACCGGATGGATGTGAGTACCAATTTATCCAGCTTGGATGGAACTAATCGGCGGAATAGCTGCGGATGATACCGCCGGATCACCAATGACGGACCCTTATGACTGCAGTTGGGGGAACAAATCTGCTGCCGAATATATCATCCCGGGTTTGGTCCCAACAGAGCAAGCAGATCCGTACGACTGCAGATGGGAGGATCGGATGGACATTGAAACACCAGGAGTGAAGGAAGTTCCTCAAGACTTTGAACACGAGGATGATTCGATGAAAGAAGGCCTGGGACCGGGTCTGCCGATGGTTGAGGAAGAAGATGCCTACGACTGCGGATGGGAGGATGCTATGGAGATCCAACCTGCAGCCTCATCGATGACTCTCGGTGATGAAGAAGATCCATACAACTGTGGATGGGAGGATCGGCCAGATGATGGTGAGGTGCTTACAGCATTGGTGATGGCGCTTGAACGCCCAGAAGATCCATACGACTGTGGATGGGGGAATCAGCAAGATGATGGCACGGCGCCCATCTCCAGTGTTGCAATAGAGGACCTTTATGATTGCGGATGGGAGTATGAGGAGGACGCCAACGGTGTGTCCCAGGTCGCAAATCTGGAGGACCCTTATGACTGCAGATGGGGAAATGATGATGCCGACAACCTGGATGTTGTATCCAGACATGACCCTTCAAACAAACAAAAGGGTCGCTGGATGCACAGTCCAACACCGATGTATGGGCTCGATATAATCGACTTGACATCCTCATCTGCATGTAAGTTACATCTCATATGCTATATTTGTTGCTAATTGCATTGCAGCTCAGAGATCAGAAAGCAAAAAAAGATATGAGCCGATGAGCATAGAGATACTGGAAGTCATCGACCTGACGTCGGACGCTGGATGTGAGTGTTTTGAGATATGCTGCATATGGTGCTAATTGTGCAGCTTGCTCACCATCTTCACATATAGCGTCCCAATGGAATGCTTTTCAGGAGGCCGGTCGGTCGATGCACCGTGCCATCCAGCGACTGAACAGCATCAGAACTGATCAGCGTAAGTCATGTTGACTTGTACAATGATTATACCTTACATATATTTGCAACAGGGAATGAGGATACACAGAATATGGTCACCGACAATTCCTCTGGCATACCCGACCAACTTCCGGCAGGTATGTTGAGGGCGAACCGGAGGCTCGTTGCTGCATACGGAGAAGCACAGGACAGAGTGACAGAGCTCAGTGAAGATCTTGTTGCAATCTACCGATTGCTGGACATCCACAGGCGCATTATGGATCTGTTGGATGCCATGATAACAAACCTTCAGCAAGGTGATGAGTAGACATTGGTTGATTTTCGGAAGATTTATGACTTGAATAATCGATTCATGCAAAGAACTGTGTAGTAGTAGCTTTATGTATTACCATACAAACAAATTGTACAATGTCCATGTCTCTATATCCGGAAGAGAGAGTTATGATAACAAACATGCAACATCTGTTTGTGCTCAAGTTCTTACATAGTCGGTAGCATATTGGGAGTTTGGCTTGCGTGCATGTGCCATGGGAAGGCGGTCAGAGGTTTTGCTCCGGGTACATTTTGAAGGAGATCCTTCCATAGATTCCTCAGCGACCCTTTTCTTCAGTCTCTTGGCTGCGGGCTCTTTCACATTCTCAGTGACCAGTTTTACGATTCCTCAGCTTCTTGTCTGTTTCACAGGCGACTCTTCTAAAGTTTCTTCGGCAGGACATTTCCTCCCTTCTTTCCTTGCATGTTCACCACCGGTCAGATGGCGTGCCATGGGCATTGCATGTGTCGCCGTTCTGTTTGATGCGGAAGCTTCATGATTGACATTTGCCTGGTTGGCAGGCGCGGCCTGACCAGCCTGGGAGGCTGGTCCCACCAGCCGAACTGGCGGAATTACCACTTCTGCCACTCTGGACTTAGATCGATCACGTGCAGTAACCTTTGCATTATGTTTAACAGCTTCCTTTTCTCGACTGACCAGTGCCCTGCTCCCCGTCGAGCTTATATTGGGGGTCCGAGCCTTGATATTTGCGGCCATATCCTTCCTGGCATGTTTGCCTGAAGCCGCAATCGCCTTTTGAGGGACATCCTGTTCGACCTCACTTTCAGAGTCATTGCTACTCATGAGAGCCACATGGTAGCCATGTGTTTGTGACCCCGTATGCAAGTTCCTCCCCTCCAATTGCCTTCCTTTCCGGGGAGGTGGCATATCATCATCTGAGTCCTCGGATGGTTCAGCAGAAGACCCATCGGCTGCCGTCCCTGTGTAGTGAATATCCTCCTCGGATGACTTGAGTTTGTTCTTGGATTTCTCGCTCTTGTTTTGGGGAGTTGAAGATGAGGCGCTCTTCACTACCTTGACTCCGGAGCGACGTGCAGCGGTTGGCTCGTTGTCCTTCATCTTTTTACCAGAAGTGTGTCCAGCCGTAGATTGCCTGTGATAACCAGGCTGCTTTGACTTTGATCCTGATGGTTTCTTCATCTGGGTGATTGGCTGTGCCCGGCTAGTGACACGCCCATCTCGCTCGGTTGCAAGGACGATGTCCTCACTATCATTGTCCCACCATCCTATGAATTCAAAGACATGCTCTTTGCCTTCCTCCTGTCTGCTATGCCAAAACTGTAACAACTCTGTGGCGTGGACCTGCCTTAACTTCAATGGCTCAGCGAGATCGTGACCATCTGGAAGATATTGTACGGGAATGATCTTGTTGTATCTGGGTATCACATATTTCCATGGTACGGAGACTTTGGGGTCCCCGCAACACTTCCCTTCAGATTGCTTAGATCATTAAATTCACCGGAAGAAGGAAATTGACCCACTGTAATGCCATGTCAAAAATGCCCAGATGACTGCCTTCTTTGTATCTAAATCCATGGACTCATATGCAGGGATTACAGGATATCCATCATCTCCGATGTCAAGGCTATACGTGTTGTCCTGTCTACCCCTCTTCCGAGCAACCGTATTTTCCTCCACATCGCCCTCTTATAACAGTTGGTTTCCACCGGATACATACTGAGGCAGCTTACTGAATACACTTGCAGCATATGCGTCCCATTCTGGCTCGATCACTTTCCAGTTCTGAGTCTTCATGAATGACTTGGCACCACCAAACTCTTGGTTATAGTCATGTCTGTCTGGAGCGTGAGAAGTTGCGGATACCAATGGTCTGAAAACACACCCAGATACCTGGACCTTGCTCTCTCCATCCTTCCAAGCTGACAACACAAACACCCTGATCCTGGCGCAGTTCCACATCTCCGATGCAAAGTGTCGGATCATACCGTCGCCTTTCTTTCTTGCAATCTCCACTTTGACATTGTCTGGAATGCCCTGACTATTCCATTTATCAGCTGTCTCTTTGGCTTCTTCAAGGTCTTCCGGTGAAAGCGATGCCATCAGCCGGTTCAGGTGAACCGTGTAATGGTTCATCATCTCCTTTGTTCCGGGTTTGGCACCAGTCTCGTCCTCGATTTTTCTCAAGAGCTCCTTCTTCCGGAGTGTGTCTATGACACTTCTCTCGGTCCATTTCTGCCCCATCTTGATGGGGGGTTTCCCCGGTTTCTTGGCCTTCGCATGGTTCCGGAACCATGTCTCATATGTCTGAATGCTGATGAGGAGCGCATCATATATATAAAATCAATGCCAATGCACCACTTTGCGAGCCTTGGACAGTACAATTGACATCACTGGTGCTTTTGTCCGGGCTTCCATGGTAGCCGCTCTCAAGATATTCTTTCGCTCCGATGAAGCAGCTGAGCGCCATTGCTCGAGATAAGACTGCAGGACAGCAATCTCTTCTTCATTTGCTGGAGGTTGTTTGTTGGACTCTGAATCAGAGGCTGAGTTGTGGTCTGACATTATCAAAGGACAAGGTTACAGATTGAATGGGTCGTGTTTAAATATTAACCTTTACCTTATTTGTGCTTGACCTCGGCTATTAAGCGAGGCATGAATTAGAATATAAGTTTTGACCGTCCTCAAATTCACACAAGTTCTCAGTAACTACATGGGCAAGTCTAGGGTAAGGACATTGGCTCCGCAGGGAACGGCGCAATGGGTGACATGGAAAACTAAGGAGACCACTCACGGCTTGAAAGGGAAGTGGTGCCCAGTCAAACCCAGTCCATCCATGCAATCCTCTCCAGCAAAGTCTCCCAAGAAACACAATTCCAATAGTGCATGGGATCGATGGTCCACCGATTTCAATGCTGACCATGAGGACTTTGGTGATAAGGAACCAATTGGTGCCCTCAATGTACTGTCAGGGAGAAAGAAGACGAAGGTGCATTACAAAATTTACGCCATGCATTCCACGCTGATTGATATCCCAGAGCCCAAATGATTATCTCTGGGAGTGGAAATTTCGGATGAACAATTATCTCAGGATCCTCCATGAACGAGAGGCTCCACCCAAAGACAAAAAATGCTGCATGTGCGGCTCCGAGTCCACTGTGTATAGGTGCTACAACTGCCTCGGTGACCCAGTATTTTGTCTGAAGTGCTGCAGAAATGAGCACCGGAGACTGCCTTTCCATAAGATAGGCAAATGGAATGGGGGATTTTTCGAGGAAACGTCTCTGACCAAGATAGGTATGGAAATTTATCTTGGGCATCAGGGAATGCCTTGTCCAGCACTTAGGGATATTCATGAATGGGAGGACACCGACGAGCCCATATATCAACCAGCAGAGGACTTCCCTACCATAGTGAAGCTTCCATTCTTGAACCGCAAGCAATGCATCACAGTCGTTGACAAGTCCAGAGTCCATTCTATCATGATAAGGTTTTGTCAATGTCCGAATGCTTGCACACCTGACAAGCAATTATTTGAGATGGGCATGTTTCCGGCATCCTTCACCCGACCCAAGACCGCGTTTACCTTTCTGGTGCTGGATGGTTTTGCATTGGACAACTTGGAATGCGGAACTTCGGCAATGAATTACTACAACAAGTTGAGAAGAATGACGTCAAGTATATTTCCGCATCTAGTCCTGGTACGTGTTGCGCATAGAATATCATGATTATAATTCCTCACAGGATCGTTACAGAGAATTAATGAGGGTAGCACGGCAATGGCGACAGCTGAAGCTGCTTAAATGGAATGGGTTTGCTTATGAGAGCAGACGGCCGACATCTGGGGAACTCGCCCTCTTTTGCCCAGCTTGCCCGCAGCCCAGCATTAACGCACCACTGCTGGCTGATAGGAATCCCCATGATCCCAGTTGGCTATATGCCCGATCCCTGGTCATGGACGGCAACTTCAAAGCAGAGCACCTTCATCCCACTCATCCGGAAGATGAAGTCTGGTTGACAGATGGACAATGCTTCATGGTTTCCAAAGACCAATACAAGGCTCATCTAGCCGTTGCGAACGACGTTGTTCAACCTTCCGAGTGCAATAACCACCGAGCTGTCAACCAGGCCAATGCGTCCTGACACAAACTAGAAGCTACTGGGATAGGCGGGTGCACGTGCGCCCGCCACGGCTGTTTTGTGCCTCATTCCATTGTGGATTTTCAAAAGGGCGAACAGTATGTTTCAGGATCCCGCAAATTTAATTCACTGGGTGACGTCTGTGATTAGGCAAATGAATATGGACTACGCACTATGTCACGCATTAAGCCACCACACTGATGGACTCAGCCAAGCTTTCACATTTTATGACATTAATTGTCAGTATAACAAACACTTCCGGTGTCGGGTGAATGAGAGCCTTCATTTGAGCATCCCTTCTGGAATGGAAATCATACCGGGCATTGGCCTCTGGCATGTTCATGGACACCAAGACAAATGCTATGTTTGGTATGCATCAACATTTATTACTGGCGCCGCTAGGATCGATGGCGAAATCATGGAGACATTGTGGGCGCCCCTGAATATTATATCTCCTGCCGCGAGAGGGATGTCCACTCCCCATCGGCAAGAGTGTCTCGATTACCAGATGAATGACTCCAATTTTATGAAGATGATTCGCATGAGTTGAGTCACAAATATCCTTGATGAAGACTTTCTGATCACATAATGCAGGCAGATTTCTTTGCCGGAAATATAAGGAAGCTATTAAGGGAGTGGCAGAAAGCGCTGCTGCATTTGACAAGCTCAATGAAATCGCCAATCCTAACATGGTCGCAACATGGCAGGAACAAGACCGAAATGCTCATTCATGTCGAGTCGCCGATCCATCTGTGATGGATATATTTGAAGTGCAGTTAAAGAGGGGTGAGTTTCTGCTCCCTCAACATCCGCTCCGCAAAACCGATTACATTGACCAGCACCAACACGGAAGCAACAGGAGCTAGCTTTGCTGTCTTCCGGAGCAGGCCAATTGCGTGGAAATGCGCAACAAGGTGCTGCTACATGGATTGCATCTGGTATTACCATAGAAGAAATGCAGATAGCGCTAACTATGGATATTTGGAAGCTCGGCAGACACCCTACGGAGACCCAAACCTTGGACATTTGCAGACGCCGGACAAAGTTGCAAAGTCGGATAGATGAATTCACCATTGTGGCGGCGACTCATCTAGGCGAGGGCTTCGATGTTGGTGACGAAATTAGAGATATCCGCTTGGACTTCATAGATGACGATTTGGAAGATGATGGAATTGATGGCAGTGATACCGAATCTGAACCGGAAGCCCATGGACATCAGCTGCGGGATCTCTTCTACCCTGAGAGGATCATGATCCCTCTGCCGTCTAATATCGGCGTAGCACGTTGTGCGGAGCTAGGTGTTGAACACCTCCTTGGTCAAGAAATTGCACTTTGGGAAGGTCAGGCCAACGATGCCTTGCAAGCGATCAGAATGCATCTAGCGGATAAGGCTGTGCTCTTTCGTACTGCAGTGCATCCGGCTACATCACAAGCAAAGTCAATGAGGACATGGACACAGGTTCATTCGGTTGAAAAGGTCATCCGACTCAACACCATGATTTATATGAAATGTCGGGCACAACTTGGACACCTGGAAGCTCATGGCCTACTTAATAAGTACCTCCAGATGGAAAAATGCCATCTCAAAACAACTGCTGCCGTGGTGGACCCGAATGCCCGGGGACAGCAAAATGCAACTCTCCCGTGGTTCTGGTCTCTAGACATACAAGGCGATTCAGTCAGCAGTGATTGGATGAATGAATGTATGTATTTGCAATCTGAGTATTTCGAGCTGAGGCTCAAGACACGACAGTTTACAGGGTTCATTGGCTTTGCACGAAAGCATTACGCAACCGATGGGCGGAAGAACTTGTACTCGTCAAACACGAAATGGGTTGGACCCTGTAGTTTTTCCTCTTCAAAGCAAGCATGTGGTTGACAAGGCTCACGTCGACCGGCGAGGCAATACCGGAGGGACACAAGTGTTATGCAATTCGGCAGGCCCATATGTATCAAGAACTTGCCAAACACGCACAGGCAAGCTTTATAAAGACAAATCCAACCTTCTGGCCAATTTCTTAATATATAGGCGTACAAAGTTGTTCATAGACCTGATATCTCATAGACAGCCCACTTTTCCGGACAATGGAGCATTCTCAATCCTTATTGCATCTGGTGACGTTGAGTGGACGCTCAGCATTGAAATTGATATCACCGCAATGTGTTTGCAATCTAACTAGACGCGGATGTCATCAGGTACCATGATTCGTTGGCTAAATGGCAGTCCGGACTCACTGCAGCAGTGATTGGAGCGGGAGTAGCAGTGGGAGTAATGGGAACAGCAATGGGAATGTGAGTAATAGAAGCAGTGACAGGAGCAGGAGGGATAGGAGCAGCAACAGGAGCGGGAGGGGTGGGAACAACAGTGGGACCAGCAACAGCAACTCTAGCAGTAACCCTGGCAGTGTTCTTCCATCAAGGAGGCATGTTGGTGGTGGTGGTGGTGAAGATGATTCAACAGCATAATTACTGGTTTAGATATATCATGACATCTGAAGAAACCCCAGAACATACCAACGTGCAGTGATCCTAAGTCCCTGATGGAAAAGCCCAAAGAATGATTGTCATGAGGCATGACTCCACAACTCATGCAAGTCAAATCTGATTCAGCAGTGAGTGAGGGGTGAAAAAAACTTGCGCAATTGTGCATACCTGGAGAGAATCAACTCCAACTTAAAACTCTAGACTCCAGAGGGCCCAAAGGTTTGAAGTCAAGCACATCTTCATCCTCAGGTGTAGTTAAATGATTGATGGAATCAAAACTGGATCTCCATCGATAACCACTCACTGAGCTGTCATTATTATGTCATATGGCTGGATTGCTGATTATGATGGTTCAGGAAGTCACAATGAGTCACTTGCAAGTTGTGAAGGTCATTTACAGGTAGGGCTGCAGCTGAATGACACTCGCAAAGAATTGTTGTTGAAGTTTCCCCTCACCGTTTTTTCAAGTCAGCTATATTGATGTCCATTCTGTGACATGTCATGATCGTTGTCTCCAGTAAGACTGATCAACACAAAGCTAGAGCCCTATGGAACTGAACAATTCCATTTGAAGAACTGACCTTCCGCTACAATTGCCAGTTCAGCTAGCTCATTTCACACATAAATCATATCAGGAGCCAATAAATTGTTATTAGTTACATAGGCTCTTATTCGGCCACGTTTGTCAAACACATCCACAACTGCTACTAGAATCATTGCAATGCAGTGAGAAAATAGTATAAGCTGGGCGGCGAATAAATAATACGGTTTTGACAACGAATAGGTTCTGGTCTGTGGATCCGAGCATCGGGTTTCAGAAGCCTCACATGTGGAAATCTTCGGGAAAATAAGCATAAGAATTCAATTGCAACCTGACCAAGATGGGTGGATGCAGGGTGGCACACAGTCTGGCTCGCTCAAACATGTGGTATCGGTTTATCCGGACGTTGTGGATGGATTATTACATTTGAATGCATAGGACAATAGTAGAACCACTCCTGTGTACAATACCATAACTACCGATCCACATTTTTCCATCCACAAGCCACAAGTCCCCAGCATTACTCGCGACCGGATTAATTCCAATCCAAAATTCTCTAAAGTCAACTTCTCATAACTGCTGTATCCACCCTGTTCACTACCGTATTTTCTTTCGAACCAGAAATCATGGCCATACCTCTGGAAGTAGCAAATGATGCCTTGAATGTCACACTCACTGTCGTGCAATCGCTCATGAAGCGGTGCATCAAGGTGAAGGAGGGTGACCCTGAGGCCTTAAGGCTGTCGGACGAGATTGCCAGGCGTGTGGTGAGTGTTTGTTACTTTTATTTGAAATTCTCCTTGTTAAACTAAGACATTCGACACAGGCAAAAGACTTAAAACTATACAGTGGGGATGCTACATCATTCTCCCCACAGCTACTCTCATTTGCCGCCATTGTGAAACAGCACTCGAAGGGCGGCGCCTTTGAAAACATCCCTGACTGGACCTCCGTCACCAATGACGACCCACGGATACAGAGTCACCCACGATTCGAGAAGACTGTGCACTATTGCCCCCCCTCCACGCTCAGAATTCCCACCATCACAACATCGACTGATATTCCTGCTACCGTCCCGACAACACCGGACTTCATTGTTCCGCCATCAGCAGCCTCGACTCCACCATCCATGCCATCCCACACGGTCCTGGGTCTCGTCGCCAAGCCGGTAGCGGAACCGAAACGATCTTTGTGGTTGCGATCGCGCAAGAACCCACCCGTTCTCGCACACTTTTCAACAGGTCCACCTGCAAGGTTTCTCCACCTGTATATGTCCGAGGCTGAGAAGAAACAGTTTTTGGAGGCTGGCAGCAGCAATAAAAGGAAGGCAGAAGATCAAGATGCTGATGGGGCCGTTGCGGTGGCCAACAAGAAGAGGAAGTCAAAATCCGATGTCAAACAAGAGCCAACCGGAGTAATCTATGTGAAATGAAAGGTATGTCTATTTATCTTTGGTTAGGCACCTAACAGCTTACCGCTCTAGGAATTACTGCCTGTCGCTACTGACAAGGATGTCCCGCTAGTCGCAGACAAGGGTTTCCGGGATGTAGAAGCTCAGGTATGTGATTCTCACTTAAGCATAGCGCAGACGTTGACACATTTCCAAGCCTGCAGAATGGGGCTCAGATTCTGATGTTGCTACTCCGTGGCAGGTAAGTCTTTTCTGCATCATTATATAAACACAGGCTAACAAATTTGAAGCATTCCGTTCGTTACCACCCCCGGCAGTGCGACAAGTGCGCCAAGTTGGACATAGCCTGCCTTGTCCTCCCCGACAAGAAATTCGGGTACACATGCCTCGCCTGCACCAATTGCGACAACAAGAAGATCACGTGCACAATCGACAGCGTTGGTGTCCAGCAGAGGTTGCAAGGTAAGGCAGCGAAAGCATCCTGTGATGCGTCCAAAGGCCCCAAGACATCCAAGTCCCGAGCTGTCTCCAAAACACTCGCGGCGGGTCCTTCTCACTCTCAATGGAGCATTGTTGTTCACGAAGGTACGTGTTCTCGTGGCCTCGGAACGAGTTGAGCTCATTGGATTTTGTAGGGGTGGAGGGAAAGCCCAGGGAGGTCCTTCCGGGCCGGCCTCAAATGCAACCGGAACACGGGCAATCCGTGCCCACCAACCTGCTGGAACCAGAGCCCACTGCAAGAGAAATCTTACAGGGCATCCAGGACCTCGGTAGGAAATTGGATCTCCTCGCCGTGAATGAGCGGGTAGATGCGTTGGAAGTCAGAGTGGGTTCGGTGGAGACCAACTTGCTCAAGCGGTTGGACGAGTTAGAGCAACGGCTCAATGAATCCGATGCCCGGTGCAAATCTTTGGAATCCCTAGGATAGATGGAGGTTTTTATGATAGCTTTTAAATACTCACTAGTTTAATTGGATGTACCTTATCACTGGACTCCCGCATGTACTGTAGATACTCCGGAGGACTGTGTACTATTATATGATTGCATATTCAGCCTGGCGCTGCATATTTATCCGAGTTCATTTCATTCAGTCCACACATATTGCGTGTGTATATGATACTGTTGTCACATCTTTGTCAAATAATAGTACTGCTTCATTTTAACTAAAAGTTGGTATCTGAGCATACACAAATTATATTCACATGATATTATTCTACCAGCAGGTGCATCCGGGACCACAGTGGACAAAAGTGTGAGCCGCACGATCAGCCTGTATCCTCTTGGTCATGCAAATTCCTGTGCTACTGGCCAGACGGCACCTGCATATATGCGATATCATTTATCAAAATACACAAAGGGTGCATCCAAAAGTGATTGATATGTAGTTGTATGTAGGGAGCCGTCAGCTGTAATACTGGCTTCCGGAACCCGTCATCACGGTGCAGTTGTGACAAGCCACAACCAATCGATTTAATACTGATACAGTGCTGAGTTTATACCACTGGTGCTTGATTATATTGTGTCTGAGATTTTGAACTACCGAGGTATGTTGCAACTACTTAGAGTCCAAAACAGTGTGTTTGTGTTCCGGCCCAACAATTCCTAAGCCCTCATGAGACCTGAATGCAATACATGCTTGTTTGCCTGAAACACTACTCACTGAGCGCATTCATCAACATTTCCTAGCCTAAATGTATATGCATTTGGGCTCAATGATTGTGCTCAAAACGACTAACTGGGCTCTTTCTTTACCCCTGCCGCCATGCAATCTAGCTTGAGCCTTCCAGAAGTTTGCCCAAGATTAGATACATTTGGACTGGACCTACCTGATCCGCACACTGAATTTGTACTCGGTCCAGAATAACCGGTTGGGATCTAAAACCTACCGACTGGGCCTATCTGCATACCAAAATATGCTGTGGGCCAGTTGGGCCGATACACATGACTTTATACGCACTGTGTCCAGAATAACCAGCTGGGCTCTTCCGGTACTTGTTTACTGGGCTTATTGGGCCCCTCTGGATAGAGCCTGACAAATTCCGTATTATACGGGCCACCCGACCTACATAATATCCCGTATGAGACGGGCCAGCGGATTATGGGCCCATGTTGTGTATATTCTCGATGATGATGGATGGGCCGGGACACATATTATTTCCGATGTTGATGGGTGGGCCCATGTATGCCAATGATATATATATCCTTGATGTTGACGGATGGGCCGGGGGAATATGATCATTCATGGAGATGGGTGGGCCCATCTGGGTAATATGTAGAGTAGGATATTATAGACAGCTGGGCTGAAGAGAGATGTAAGGCAAATATTGTTATATAGACGGGTGGGCCGACGGGGGTCTATTACATATATGGGTGGGCCGAGGTAGGGGAATATTACATAGATGGGTGGGCTGATGTGGGGTGTATTACATATACAGGTGGGCCGACGTGGAAAGTATTACATATATGGGTAAGCCGACAAAAGGGATATCAAATAGACGGGTGGGCCGAGGGTGTGATAAAATATCTATTACATAGACAGGTGGGCCAAGGTGGGGTATAATTATATAGACGGGTGGGCCGACGTAGGATGTATTATATAGACGGGTGGGCCAACATAGGATGTATTACATAGACGGGTGGGCCGACATGGGGGATAATACATAGATGGGTGGGCTGACGTGGGGGAATTGTACATAGATGGGTACATATATGGGTGAGCCTAGATACGTTTCATCAAGACATACAGCTGATGTAGCCACCAGCAATCAAACATGTAGGATACATGTACACTATGAGTGCATATACCTACCATCGACCACCGAATCTAAACCCCTAAGCACGAAAACATGAATCGACCATGTGTGGCATTGACCAATAATCGAGGACTGAAGTGGAAAAACCCCACACCTGAACCCTGGTGTGCAACATATCCTATTTCTAAGCATGGACACCAGAAGCACAACACTCACAAAAATATAGATGTCAAATTTTCAGTGCAAAACCCCAAACCGAGATTTACCAACCCCCGAACCCCGAAATTGTGGACTGCCGGGTTTTGGGGTTCGGGGGTCCCAGAACTCGGAACTTGGGAAATTTGGGGAGATCAATAAAATTTGATTTACAATCGAGTTGATTGACAAACACATTGACTTACCCATGTTTGAAATATATTTTTGTTGTCTCACATACCGAGTTCCGAGTTCCGAGTTCTGGGACCCCCGAACCCCGAAACCTGGCAGTCCACAATTTTGGGGTTCGGGGGTTGGTAAAATGTGTATGGATAGATAAAAGGTTGATTTAAACATTTTTGAAAGATGTCTTATATCAAATGTCAAGTCCCGAGTTTCAAATTCCGGGTTTTGGGACTCCGGGTTTCGGGACTCAGCACTCCAGAAACCCGGAAATCAAAACTCGGGACTTGATATTTGATATGAGACATTTTTCAAAAATGTTTAAATCAACCTTTCATCTATCCATACACATTTTACCAACCCCTGAACCCCGAAATTGTGGACTTCCGGGTTTCGGGGGTCCCGGAACTCGGAACTCAGTATGACACAACAAAAATATATGTCGGGGTTTGGGGGTTAGTAAAATGTTTATAGATATATGTAGGTTGATATAAACATGTTTGAAAAATGTCGTTAGTCTCAAATGGCAAATCCTGAGTTCTGGGTTTCGGGACTCGGCACCCGGCACCCAGCACTCGGGGTTCGGCACTGAAAATTTGACATTCGTGTGTTAGGGTTTAGGGTGATATCTACCTCAATCTACAGTTTCGAGTTCTAGATATCGGGACTGGTCATTAAATTATTCAATTGTGGCATAGGTAACATGCATTGAAAAAGATTTATGTACATCTATCACTGAGCAATTATGTAGCCATTTCAACCTCCTCACCAGGAAGATCAACCTTCCCCTCAACATCCAACTCCTCATCAGAAGAATCATATTCTGGCAGGAGGTTACCTGGTTCATTAGGGACCACAATATTGCCGGAGGATTCTGGCAAGAGGTTGCCTGGTTCATCCGGGAGCACAATTTCACCGGAGGATTGTGGACCCTCAGGCTGAACTTGGGTGGGCTCAACCATGAGACCTACCATAGCAGATCCATCCTCAACCGTCAAGGGTGTGGGTTGCATCACTGATATGTCCAAATCAATGAGGTTGGAAAGTGCGGAGGGGAGGGGTGAAATGGACGGGTGGGGACCAGATTGATCAAGCAAGATTGTTGCATCAGCTGGTGTGTCCAGAAGTGAAAATGAAGGGTGCCGGTCGACCACTGTGCACCGGAGGCTCTCATGGAGGCATTGCAGGGTATCAATCTTAGCATCCTGCTCCTGCACCCGAGCCTCAAGAATAGCGATGCGAGCTGCACCATCCTGAATCGCGATTGCCATGGAATGGAGATCTGGCATGGGAACATCGAGTGCTGCACGAGGCACTGCGAAGCTCAAAGACCGAACAGCTAAGTAAAAAATCAGGTCAGCAGGTCATCAAAAGTTTGGGTGACTTACGAGCTGGCGCAGGTGCAGGTCAGGTGTCTTCTTGGTAGTGATGGTCTTGCTGTGACCACGTGACTGCACCTGGGGTGTAGTTGCAGCAGGGATGGCCGGAGTTCGGGATGGGCCACGAGATTGACTACGAGTTCGGGCCCTTGACAGGGAGGGAGACGGAGCAGTGGATGGAGCAGGGGCAGATGTCTTGGAACGCGTCCGGCCGGTGGTAGACTTCCCTCGGATCCGTTTGGGCGGGGATCCCAGAGATGCTGGGTTGCATTTGATCTTCTTGGTGGAGCAGCGGATGCAAGACAAGCAGGGGAGGTTGGTCCTCTTGTCAAAACGGGTCGCGCAGGGCCAATCCTCCTTGACACAATAATGGCAGGGGTTGTTCTGTGGTATCTGTTAGTAGATGGACTAGGGGAATTAATTGGAGTACTCACCGGGCCGGGAATGGTGATATCAAATGTGGTATTGGCCAGGGGGTCACCATCCAAAGCGCTGGAAGTATCATCAGAGGACTCCTCAACTTCCGGACGACTGCTGGAGGTTGCCTGATAGATTGTAAGTACACATGTGAGTTCTGGGCGAGCTTGTAAGACTTACCCGAGCCTCCGGACGACTGACGGGAGATTCCTAATGCAATGGGCATGAGTCAAAATGATATATGCGAGTTCCGGACCTGTCCGAAAGACTCACCATGACCTCCGGACGCCTGCCGGCAGTCAGCTGTGGACACATGAGCATATATATGAGTTCCGGACGACTAAATCAGACTTACCGAAGTAGGCCCAAATGATTGCTTCTTGGGGGAACCAGGTGACCGAGGCAACTGGGGCGTCCTCACAACAATGGTGGAGAGCTGGGGAAGAACGACCTCCGGCACTCTACGCGAAATCGGCTGCAACAAATTGAGAGCATGTCACAAATGAGCCAGAACACATACCTGAACAATTGGGTCTTCATCATCTTCCGACTCCACAAACGGCTTTGACTTGGGGAGTCGAGTTGACTTGACACGCTTGCGACCCTTCATCGCCGACTTCGGAGGTTGGGAGGAGTGTCCAGAAATCATCGGGGACTTCCTCTTGTTGCTCCCTCCGACTTCCAGCTCCAGGTCAACAGAAATGGCCTTACCTTTTCCTTTGTCCCGGAACTCGGTACCCGTCTTGCCGGAAGGTCCGGCGACAACGGGAGGGGAGGGAATGACAGGGGCGGGGGAAGGAACAGGTGTGGGGGAAGGGACAGGTGGAGACAGAAGGTTGACAGTCAGTGGGCCAGTGGAAGGATTAGGAACAACAGGGAGATCACAGGAATTGTCACCCAACGCCTCCCAGGCACGGACTTGCTTGCGCCAGGCGTGTCTAGCCACCCGGGGGTCATCATGGCCAATGCCGTGCCAGTTGGGCAATGCCCGGGGAGTCATGGAACGCACCCTCATCAGCTCCTTAGAGCAGGACACCACAATGCCAGGGATGTATTCCCCTTTCTCATGGGCCTGGATGATGTCAGCCTACCTGGATATTAGAAACATCAATGGTAAACTAATTTAATGAGTGCAACTTACCAAAAGAGTGGTGACCTGCTTTGTCAGAGCAAGTTGGATGTCCACTGAGCCGGCCGGGATGTGCTGAGCGCCAGCAATGATGCCTACAAGTTGAGCAGTGGATGCCTTGAGGTCGGCCAATAAAGATTGAACTGGAGTAGACATTTGGATTGAGTTGACAGATGTGAGAATGTTGAAAGCAGGGTAAAATCTGTTATCACTAGAATGAAGTTTCAAAGAAACAATACAATTGAAGGACAATGTTGAAAATTGTTGATTGTTTGTCTTTGTTTGGTCATGGTTCAACTTTCGGCAATTGCCGGCCATGTGTTGAACTTCGACGTTATCTGTTATCAATCAGTTCATAAGTTCATCAGCTCATCAGATATCATGAGCTCTCAACCTGGGATCAGATTTCATGACCCTCCGGTCACTGAATCCACCTCAATGGATGTGGATGAGTCCTCCAAGTCCCGGATGTCCCTTGGTATGTTTTTTTTTGCTGATTTCAGTGAATTGATCTGACATGGTTTAGATCCATTAGATGATATATATCTTGGGCCGGATGATGAGTTAGACTCTGATTCTGGGTCGTCCGGTGGTTTGGATCTGTTGAATGCGATTCCCGGTATGTTTCTCAATTCAAATGTACATATTCTACATGTGCAAATTCATGACATACTTCCAGATCCATCATATCCGGCGCTGGCAGATGGACTGGCCCTGTATGATGACCCAGACTTGTATCTTGGTCTGGAGAATACCTTGATTTTGTCTGATGATGCTCCGGCTGTACCCGATTTTCCTATGGCTGGTGAGGTTATTCTTTTCATCTCATGTTCATTTTCCATGGCATTTCCCCAGTGAATGAATCAACTCCCGAACCTCATCCGGTTACTCTGGCTGAACCAGAGGCACCCATACCTTGTAGGCATATTCATATCATTTCATGTTTTTTATTCATGTTATCTCCCAAGCTAATTCAGAAACTCCCGAACGTCAATCGCCCGAGCCGGAACTCAACAATGAAGCACTGCATGCCATGGTTCAGGAGTTCATGCCAATCGGATCTTATGATCAAGCTGAAAGTATGTATACAACAGTTGATTATTTATCTCTGCTAATGTTCTGCAAGTTCAAACAATTGTAGATCGCCTGGGTGATTACCAACAGCGTCATGGAAATCTTCCTGCCCCTACAGTAGCACAACTTCTTGAGGCTGACAGACCATTCAGGATGGCATGGGCTGAAACATGTGACAAACTGTGGAAAGCAGATGCGGACCTCCGGAGGATGCAAAGGGTAAGGGAGTCAACCTCCGAAATGCTGAAGGTATTAGATACCCTCATTGAGTTCTTTGAGGACTCAAGTAACATGTAAATATCAATCAATGTCTGATAGTAGACACATTGCAGTATACTTTACCTACTCAGTACTCGCTGCCCGGTTGTCTGTGCTCGGTACTTGGTACTCGGTGCTCAGTACTCGGTGCTCGGTGCTCGGTGCTTGGTGCTTGGGGTTTGGTGCAGTATACTTTACCTGCTCAGTACTTAGTACTTGGTACTTGTATACTCCACCTACTCAGTCCTCGCTGCCCGGTTGTCTGTGCTCGGTACTCGGTACTTGGTACTTGGTACTCGGTGCTCGGTGCTCGGTGCTCGGTGCTCGGTGCTCAGGGTTCGGGGTTTGGTACTTGGGGTTTGGTACTCGGGCCTTGGTACTCGAGATTTGGGATTTGGGATTTAAGATTAGGTGGTTAGTACTTTGACATATACACAATAGCACATATGACATTACACATGAGGGCAGGAAGATATATCTACATTAA